TTTTCCCTTCCCTTTAGAACAGTGGTTCTCAACCTTCCTAATGCCGCAGCCACAATGCTTCCTCATGTCATGGTGATCCCCAACCAGAAAAATATTTTCCTTGCTGCTTCACAAATGTAATTTTGCTACTGTTATGAATAATAATGCAGGTATCTCCAATGTGGGATATCTGATTAGTGATCTCTGCGAAAGGGTCATTCAGCCCTCAAAGGGGTGGAGGGCCACATGTTAAGAATGGCTGCTTTAGAACATCCGATGTCTTAATGAACTTCTCTCCAAAATGGAAGGTTTTAATCTGGAAGGAGTCTGCTACACAACACAGAATTCCACACAATTCTGGTTTGCACTTTTGACCTCCGACTAATTGTCTTTTTTTTTCTTTCTGTTTTTTTTTTTCAACATAGGGTTTCTCTGTAGCTTTGGAGCCTGTCCTGGAACTAGCTCTTGTAGACCAGGCTGAGCCTCAAATTCACAAAGATCCACCTGCCTCTTCCTCCCAAGTGCTGGGATTAAGGTGTGCGCCACCACCGCCCAGCTTGTCTTTTTTTTTTCATAGAATATATTCAACAGGCCGGGCGGTGGTGGCGCACGCCTTTAATCCCAGCACTTGGGAGGCAGAGGCAGGCGGATCTCTGTGAGTTCGACACCAGCCTGGTCTATAAGAGCTAGTTCCAGGACAGGATCCAATGCAACAGAGAAACCCTGTCTTGAAAAACCAAGGCTATATTCAACATAAGGCTCGCTTTTCCCATTTAACATTTCATACAACTTTCTCTTATATTTCAAAGGAAATGGCTCATACTCCAGTTTATTGGTTTTCAAAGTGTGATGAGTTACTGCTAGCCCTGATATTCCACTGCAAGTCTATGTGCCTTCAAACATCCAAATTAGAGTGGACTGACAGTGCCCCCCAGGAGAGCCATACACTCTATATAATAAAACTCCAATATCCGCAGTATTATTAGTCAGGGTTCTCTAGAGTAACAGAACTTATAGAGTGAACCACACTATATATAGAAAGGGGATTTATTAGAATGACACACAGGCTACAGTTCATCTAATCCAACAATGGCTGGCTGCTAACAGAAAGCCCAAGAATCCTGTAGTTGTTCAGTCAATGATGCTGGATGTCTCACTGGTCCAGGAGACACTGGAACCCTGAAGAAGGAAGTTCTAATGCAGTGAAGGAAGGCATTTGCCAGCAAGGCAACGGTAAGCGGGTAAAGAACAAAAGCTTACGTATTCCATATCCTTATATAGGCTTCCAGCAGAAAGGTGTGGCCCAAATTAAAGGTGTGTCTTTCCACCTTAAGATCCAGATTTATTATTATTATTATTATTTTGTGTTTTTGAAACAGGTTTCTCTGTGTAGCCTTGGCTGCTTTGGAACTCATTCTGTAGACCAGGCTGGACCCAAACTCAGAGATCTGCTTGCCTCTGCCTCCCGAGTGCTGGGATTAAAGGCGTGTGCCACCAGAGCCCTTCAAGATTAAAGGCATGTTTCTTCCCACCTCAAGATTTGGGTTAGATATGTATCTTCCTATTTTAGATTAAGCAAAAAATTCCTCCCTGGTATTCCCTCCATTTTTGGATTTTGTAGTTGATTCCCGATGTAGTCAAGTTGACAACCAAGAATAGCCATTACACCAGATAAGAAGCCCGCTTTTGGGTTATTGGTCAGGGGAGTCTAAGAGACTCTTTAAGCATAAACTATTGCTGTTGCTCTTTGTTGCCTCTCAGAAGTTGAAAGTAAGTCCATATTTTGAAGGCACCACACACCAAACAAGGACCTGGAGGATCTGAGCTGGATCTAACCTTAAAGCTTCCTTCCTGAGGATTAGCTTTTGTGATACCAAAAGGTGCCATACAAGCTTCCAGAACAACCAATCGTCATACCTATGAACTACAACATCAACCGGCATAGCACTATATCCCTAAAGATGCAGTAGGGATATCCCTAAAGATGCAGTAGGGGCATGAATATCCTGGAAGTAACCTACAGCTCTCTAGTTGGCTGCACCCTTTCTTAGATAAGTCTGCCTGCCTTTGAGTCTGGCTTGTCATTCATTTGTTTTCTCTTTGCATTTTGATTTTTGCCTGCCTTGCAATCTTTTCAGCCCTTTTTTCATTCCACCCCACAACCTTTTTACTTATCCTTTTATTCCTTACTTTTTCACTCATCCCCAGACTTCTTCATAAAGTAAAGCCTGCTCAACAAGAGGGAAGTGATGCCTGGTACTAGAAACCCAGTCAACTAACTTCCCAGGGCTAGTTAGGTCATTGATACTTGCAGAGAACCTACAACCATCACTTCACTAAACCAACATAGTTCTTACCTGCATTCTAAATTTTTTATCTTAATACCCATAAATACAAGCATAACTATCACCTCTCATCAAAGAAACCTGTCTTTGCAAGAGACAGAGACCATCACAGAGGATTAAATTGCCGGGCAGTGGTGGAGCACACCTTTAATCCCAGCACTTGTGAGGCAGAGGCAAGCAGATCTCTGTGAATTCGAGGCCAGCCTGGTCTACAAGAGCTACTTCCGGGACAGGCACCAAAGCTACAGAAAAACCAAAAAAAAAAAAAAATCACTGCTTGGCCTATTAGCTCTCGCCTCTTATTGGCTAACTCTTACATCTAGAATTAACCCGTTTCCATTATTTTATATTTTATCACGAGGTTCATGGCATACCAGTAAGGTTCCGACTGGCTGCTTGCATCTTTCTCCTCTGGCGGCTCCATGACTTCTCCTAACTCTGCTTTCTTTCATTAACCAATAAAAGCAACACACATACAGAAGGACTTCCTACATCACTAGAGGTTTCAGCAACATTGTTACTTAAACAAGACCTGAACAAGGACCACACCAACAGATAGATAAGGTGAGATGAAAGAGGGAAATCACAAGAAGCTCCAACCCTAGACAAAGATTTACAGGCAACTAAGTAATGCTGAGAGCCAAGAGAAATAGCCTTCCCCCAATTGACTATCTAATACTAAGTGGTCTGCCCAGAAAACATATACATACAGGTAATAGTATATGCATTGAACAGGTTATTGAAACAGGGCTCCAGACCTTAGTAGGCCCCCAAACCTTAGCACAACTGACTCCATGATTGAAGTACCATTAAGGCTGTAAAACTCAGCATGTAGACAGTACCACCTGCCAAAACAAAAGACCCAATCCATCAAAGTGTATAGTTTTGGAAAGTTTCTAGATGTACTAACCTTGTCTTTTGTCTTCTCTAGTTCCACTTCTGGCTGTTCTTGTTAAGTGAAGTATGCCAACCCAGGATATTTTTTTATTTGTTTGTTCTTAAAAGTTCACCCTGAGAAAGTCTGGGAGCTAAACTGAGATCCTGAACACCCAGTGTATTCGTTAGCTAATAAAGACTTTCTATTAGCTTAAATGCATGTCCAAAGCAGTCTTCTCTGTTAAATACCACACAATGGTTAAACAATTATATTTACACACACACACACACTATGTAATGACAATTAAAGAAAAATAAGCTATGAATTGAAGAGAGTAAGGAGGAGGCACATGAGAAGGCTTAGAGGGAGAAAGGGAAGGAGGAAATGATGTAATTGTATTTCAATTTCAAGAGATTAAAAAGCCCACATCAAAGCCGGGCGATGGTGGCGCACGCCTTTAATCCCAGCACTCGGGAGGCAGAGGCAGGTGGATCTCTGTGAGTTCGAGGCCAGCCTGGTCTACAGAGCTAGTTCCAGGACAGGCTCCAAAGCCACAGAGAAACCCTGTCTCAAAAAAAAAAAGAAAAAAAAACCCAAATCAAAATTAGCATTTGGATGCCCTTTCACTTAAAATAGTACTTAATAAATACAATTAGGGATCATTTACCATGTATTGCTGGACTAGTGTATGACGGAGTAGTTTAGGGGGCTGAACAAATTCGTTTTGTGGAGACACTGGTAGAGAAGGGTGGCTGGGGGCTAAGTTCTAAGATTTTCCTCTGGGCTGTTTATTTAATCGGAGTGCAACAGACTGAGTTATCAGAATGTATGTCTTCTAAGAAAACCGAAAGACAAGGGTCTTAGATCAAAGCTTTAAAAAAAAACAGCGATTTTTTTTTTTTTGGTTTGGGATTTCAAAAGAAAAAAGGAGCCGTGTGTGTGTGTGTGTGTGTGTGTGTGTGTGTGTATACATACATGGATTTTTTTTTTTCCGAGACAGGGTTTCTCTGTGGAACGGAGAACTGGCTGTCCTGGAACTCGCTTTGTGGATCAGGCTGGCCTCAAACTCACAGAGATCCTCCTACCTCACCTCCCGATTTCTGGGATTAAAGGCCTATGCCATCACTGCCCAGGATAATTTATTTATTTTTCTTTTATGTACATTGATGTTTTGCCTGCATGTATGTCTGTGTGAGGGTGCCGGGTCCCCTGGAACTGAAACTACAGTTTGTGAGCCGCCATATGGGTGCTGGGAATTGAACCCGGGTCTTCTGGAAGAGAAGTCAGTGCTCTTAACCACTTAGCCCTCTCTCCAGTGCCCACAGATTTCAAAGGAAAAAAAAAAGGAGCGGTGTGTGTACGTGTGTCTGTTACATTACATACACAGATACAAAAGCTCACACCAAATAAAACCGCACACGGAACACATTGAGAATTGGTGTTGTTCACACAGCTACTCAATGAAATATGTACAGCATTCATCGTAACTTTGCTCCAGGTATTAGAGTTCCAGAACGAACAAAGAATTAATGTTCGCGTGGTTTACATTTCTGAAGCCTCACTAGGAACTGTACGAGTCCGTGGCTCGAGTTTCCCGACCGGCTTCTTTATACTAATACACCCATCCCTTCCTGTTTGCTGCAAGGAGCTTGGGTCCAGGGGAAGGGGTTTACCGACGTACCCGGAACTGTTTCCAAGGGTTTTTTCTTTTTTTCTGGTTTGCTAAACGCTGCGGGCTCTTGGACGCTTGGCATCTTAGACCCTTTGGGGGCCGCAAGAGCGCCCCCTTGTCCCGCTCCTTGGCGGGTTCAGCTTCCACCACCATGGCTCCTGTGTCGGGCTCACGTAGCCCTGAAAGGGAGGCCTCCGGGGGAAAATGGCGCAGTTCGTCGAGGAGCCCTGAGCCCAGCAAGTCTTCCCGCTCCCCGCAGGGTCGCCGCTCTCGCTCGCGCTCTTGTTCTCAGCTCTGTGACCGGAATGGTCTGAGCCATTCGCTGAGCGGCTTCAGCCAAAGCTCTCGAAACCAGTCTTACCGCTCCCGCTCTCGATCGCGTTCTCGAGAGCGGCCCTCTGCGCAGCGGAGTGCCCCTTTTGCTTCTGCATCCTCGTCTGCCTATTATGGCGGTTACTCGCGCCCCTACGGGGGCGACAAGCCCTGGCCAAGCCTGCTGGACAAGGAGAGGGAGGAGAGTCTGCGGCAGAAGTGAGTGAGATCGCCGCATCCTCTCTTGGACGAGTCCGCCCGCCTTTGAGTCCGGCTAGTCGTTCATTGTTTGTGTTTGTATTTCGCTTCCCACCCACCTCGCACCTTTTTCATCCTGTTCTTCAGTCCATCTCACGACCTTTTTATTTATCCTTTTCTAACTTAAATTTTCATTCATCCCGAGACTCCTTCATAAAGTGCCCCGTTTTCCCACTACCTACTTCCCCCCTCCTGTCTTTGCAGGCTGATAACGCTAAGAGCCTCGGCTCTATTGTAGTTCTTTGGTTGTGTCATTATCCGTGAGCTTCTCTTTATTCTTCACTAAATTGAACTTGTGAAAAGTAGAGGTTCTATTTTATTGTTCACAGAATTAGTAGTGCCTGCCTCTTGGTAGGCATGCAACAACCATCGCTTGTTGCATGAAGGAACAGACGAGCTTGCGATAACACGATGTCAGTGGGAAAGTTTTGCTGGGAATTGGTAAGGATTTTAATTAAGGATCTGTATTGGGTAGGAGGAAACCTTCCTCTATGCAAGATGGTTAGATGAATGTAAGAAAAGTACTCTGCCAAACTGTGGATGAGGCTATATTAGGAAAAGTTTTGTGAAGTGGTCTCAGCCATTTTTGACCATGAAAAGCAATGCAGGTATTGAGATCAGATCTCCTCTAATGGAGTTCTTGGTTTAAAAAGCCTGTGGTTGCAACAGCTATGAGTCTCAGCAGGAAGTTAGATCATTGTCGTCCTCATCTCCGTAGCAAGTTTAAGGCTAGCCTGCTATACACGAGACCGTATCTCAGAAAATACGTTAAAAAGGCTGGGCATGATGGCTCAGCATTCAGAATGGAGGGCAGGTAGCCTGGACTGCAGAATAAATTCAAGGTCAGCCTGAGGGAGAGTGAGACCCTAAGAGAGAGGCATTTATTGCTGCATTAGTCATAGTGCTAATATTATGAAGTTTATCATGTTTGTTAAGCATTATGTCTTAGGCACTGGACTAGGCCTTTACCATGTGTTTTAAAAGGATAAAACTTAAAACATTACAGGCATTAGGGGCAAGTAAACTCTCTAACTGTTGAGAAATGTTTTCGTGATATTTTTTTTTCCTTCCAGGAGGGGAGGACATAAAGTCTAATAGTAAAAAGGGCAGGCTTCACAGCCACTCTGCTTGAGGATGAAGATTTTGTTTGCCATGAAGCAGGTAGCTTTGGGCAAGTCAGTTGACCTTTCTGAGCTTCTCTTCTTCACCAGAAAGGGGTGCGGGAAATTAGCAACAAGGCTTTTAAGGTTCTACTAACTTCCATAAATGCGTGAAAACGGAAACAGTAAGATAGTTCTGAATTGTTAGAGACTTAATTATCCAATTTAAGTTATTCAGCATGGTGTAGTCCCCACAGAGTATGTGGGCCGGAAAGCAAACGGTGAGCCAGGAGTTTTGTGAGCTCATGTCTCTAATCCCATGACTTGAGAAAGGATCAGGAGTTGAAGACTAGCTGGACCCTGCTATATGAGATCCAGTCTCAAAAACAGGTGGAGAGGGTTTACTGGAATGTTATAATTCATTGGATGGAATTTGCATTTGTACTTTTAGATGACTTGAAGTTTATTCTGTCTGTTAAACATTGTGTCTTAGGCTCAGTACTAGGCATTGTAGCATGTGTTTAAAAATGAGAACTTTTAAAACATTACAGGAGCAACGGGTATGAGGCTTTGTGTTCTTTGTGGTTGGGTAGGCATTCTTCCCCTAGCAGTTACAAAGAGATGAATTCCCTTTTAAATTATAGTTTTGACCAAATTAAAAAAAACCTCCAAGTTTTTCCCATGATGAAAGAAGTTAAAAGAAAATCAAGCCAATTATATTTGTGCTATAATGATTAATTTTTAAACTGTAAGTTGCAAGCTACTACACTTTAAGAAATTCAGGCTTCCACCCCAATAATTATTTTTTATCTTCGAATAATTATTTCTTTTGGGGGGGTGGTTTAGACAAGGTCTGTCTATACAGCTGTTCTAGAACTTAGATAGACCAAGCTGGCCTCAACAAAAAGAGACCCGCCGTACTTTGCTTCCCAAGTGCTGGGACTGAAGGCACCAACCACTATACATGATGCTATTTTTATTATGTTTTGAATTCTGTGTAGGAATGTGCGTCTGTGTATGGATATGTATATATGAGTGTAGATGCCTTGGAAGGCCAGAAGCATCAGATCTCCTGGAGCTGGAGTTACAGGCAGCTGAGAATCAACCGTCTTGGATGCGGGGGACCAAACTCCAGTCCTCTGCAAGAACAATATGTGCTCTTCATTGGGCCATCTCTCCCGCCCAGAGTTTGTATTTTAAGTTTATGAGTAGTAGTAAATATTAAAACAGAATTAGCCACATACACAAAATGAAAAAAGGTGTCCTCCCAAGAGTAGAGAACATACTCCTTCCCCTAAAAGGATCTGGATGGAAAACTGGTCATAAGCCTTATGGAGCATGAGGACAGTTTTTGTTAAAGAAAATTTTCCTTTCTCTCCAGAATTCCCTTTATTTTTATTTCATCTTTATCTTCACTAATTCCTAGGTTTCTGAAAGCAAAGTTTGACCAAATCAAAAGATTTCACTACTTTATAAATATACGTAAACAAATGAATTTATTTTTAAATATAAACCTTTCTTAGCCGGGGGTGACGGCGCACACCTTTAATCCCAGCACTAGGGAGGCAGAGGCAGGTGGATCTCTGTGAGTTTGAGGCCAACCTGATTTAGAAAGCAAGTTCCAGGACACACTTCAAAGCTACACAGAGAAACTCGTCTCAAAGGAAAACAAAACAAAACAAAACAAAACAAAACACCAACCTCCTCCACCCTCAAAACCTTTCTGTTACACTTTACAGTTAAATGGGCATTTAGAAGCTATGCCACACATTCAGTAAAAGAGATGCCCTTGACAGTCTGACTGCCATTTTTGCCACTGCCACTGAAGCACTCTATAGTTTACACCTGTTTATGATACTATCAGAGCATCGACTCCTACCTACAGAGCTTATATTTAAATCAAGTTTTTATTAACTTTTCAATCATACATAAATCCAGGTGTTTCTGTAGCCTCAGCTATTTCGAAGGCTGGATCACTTGAGCCCAGGAGTTCAAGGCCAGCCTAGTCAACACGGTAAGATCCTGTCTCAAAAGATATATGAGGAACATAATACTAGAAGACTTGATTCCTGTTGAGTTTTATTGTATGTCTAGGAAACAGTTCATCCATTGAGTTATAATTTAAATATTTATATCTTTTAGGAGATTAAGTGAAAGAGAGAGAATTGGAGAATTGGGAGCTCCTGAAGTTTGGGGACTTTCTCCAAAGAATCCTGAACCAGAGTAAGTAGGTTAAAAAAATATAATTTTAAAATGTTAATAGCATTTGTTTAAATCCTGGTCTGCAGGCAAAATTTTTTTAATTATATTTTCTTACATTTTATTTATTTGCACATGTATGTATGTGCACAGGTGGAGGTCAGAGGACAACTTGCAGGAGTCGGTTCTCTCCTTCCACTATGTGGGTCCCAGGGATTGAACTCAGGTCGTCAGGCTTAGCAGCAAGCGCCTTTACCTACTGATCCATCTCGCCAGCCCTACTGTCAAAATTTTTAAGTGAAGAGCTTCAAGTACTTATCAAAATTTTTTTTGCTTTCTTATGATTTATACTATTTTACCCCTTATATTAAAAAAAAAACATGGAACATGGGTAATGATTACAGATACAGTTAGTAGATTTTAGCACATTCATTGTGTGTGTGTGGGGGGAGGTTGCTTTGTTTTGTTTTGTATTTGAGACATGGTCTGATTCCGTGATCCAGGCTGTTTGGAACCCACAGTGTAATAACCAAGGCAGAACTCAGCCTCACAGCAATCCTCCTGCCTTAACCCCCTAAATGCTGGAATTCCTGGCATAGATCACCATGTCCTGCTTAACTGCTATCTTGAAATTATAACTCATGAATCATTAATTTCCTACTCAGATTCGTTATTAAAAATAATATATTTATAATATTTTTCTTTTTTTTCAACTAACCCACCATCAGACTGCTAGGTATTAGCATAAGTAATAAAAATAGAGGTAATTTACTAAGAAAGAAGGTCCTCCTGAGAGTGGAAGTGGGCTAGTGAGCTGGGGAAAGTAGACACTCAAAAGCCTGGAAAATTCATGTGTGTGAGTGATTGTGTGCGGGGTTCAGAATTTGAAGTCAGATATCTTCTGTGATCTCTTCTCTACCTTATATTTTAAGTTTACATTGATTTATTCTCTCTCTCTCACACACACAGTCCGTGCACGGGTGTTCTAGGTGTACTCACATAACACATGTGGAGGTCAGAGGACAACTTCCAGGAGTTGGGTTATCTTCCACTGTGAGGGCTATAGGAGATATAATTCAAGTTGTTAGGATTGGCATCAAGTGTTCTTACCTGCTAAGGCATCTTGTTAGTCCAGCACCTTGTTTTTTGAGACAGAGTTTTTCAATGAACCTGGTGCTGATTCAGTGAGCATGATTGGTTGACCAATAAGCCCTAGGAATCTTGCTGTCTTTGCCTCTGAGTGTTAGAGTTACAGGTGAATGCCACCCCACCCATCATTTTTCTGTGGGTGCTGAGAATCTGAACTCAGGTCCTTGTGCTTATGTGACAAACATTTGATCAACTGAGCTACCTCTCTGACCCCTGAATTAAAAAAACGTTCAGACAGATATAACATTGTCCATTGCCATATTCCCACCCCTTGCTTCCTTCTGTTCTCCTAAATACTTTCATTTCTTCTTTCATTTTATACATACATACATGATCTTATGGGACTATATAGAATCTGGGAACCACAAATCAGATAAAACATGAAATTTGTATTTCTGGGACTGACCTCATTTGCTCAACAGGATGATAGGCTTTTGCACCTGTTTTCCTGTACATGGTGGAACTCCATTCTTCTTTTTTTTATTTTTTTTATTTTTCGAGACAGGGTTTCTCCACAGCTTTTGGTTCCTGTCCTGGAACTAGCTTTGTAGACCAGGCTGGCCTCAAACTCACAGAGATCCACCTGCCTCTGCCTCCCGAGTGCTGGGATTAAAGGCGTGCACCACCACCGCCCCGCTTCCATTCTTCTTTTTGACTGGAAATGTTTCCACTGTGCACATACACTACATCTGTAGGTCTGTCTGTAGGTTTGTCCCACGGCCGAGCTGCTGTGAATAGTCTGCAGTTTACATTGTGTGTGTGTGTCTCTGTGATGTGATGACTCTAGTCCTTTGGGCAGATCAGGCAGATCAGGCAGATGCCCAGGAGTGGTAGAGCTAGATTCTGTGGAGGATCTATTTTTTTTTTGTTGTTCTTGTTGTTTGAGAAACCTCCATACTGCTTTCCACAGACGCTGGATCAGTCTATTTTCCAACTGATTGTATATAAAGGCTCCCTGTTGTCTACATCCTCAACAGCATTTGTACTGAGTTGTTTTCTTTCTCTCTCTCTCTCTCTCTCTCTCTCTCTCTCCCTCCTTCCCTCCCTCTCTCTCTCTCTCTTTCTTTGTTTTTTGTTTTTTGGGTTTTTTTTTTGAGACAGGGTTTCTCTGTGTAGCTTTGGAGCCTGGCCTGGAACTGGCTCTACAGACCAGGCTGGCCTCGAACTCCCAGTGATCCGCCTGCCTCTGCCTCCCGAGTGCTGGGATTAAAGGTGTGCACCACCACTGCCAGGCTCTTAGTTGTTTTCTTAATGGCTGGGGTAAGATGGACTCTCAGTGTAGTTTTCATCCACATTTCACTGATGGATAATGAGGTTGATTTTTTTTGTATGTGTTTATTGACCATTTGTATTTTGTCTTTTGAGAACCATCTGTTCATTTCATTAGTCTTTATTTATTTATTTATTTATTTTTTATTTGTATGTTTATTTGAGACAGGGTTTTTCTGTGTAGACCCAGATGTCCTGGAACTTATTCTGTAGACCAAGCTGGCCTTGAACTCACAGAGATCAGCCTTCCTCTGTCTCCCAAGTGCTGGGACTAAAGGGGTGTGCCCCCACCACCTGGCTGAGTGCATTTATTGTGTTGGTTTCTTGTTTAATGTTTTTGGTTCCTCATAGTCTTGTTATCCTCCTCTGCCAGATGTAAGGTTTTCTCCCATTCTGTAAGCTGTTTCTTCACTCAATTTTTTTTTGCTGTGTAAGAGGTTTTAATCTTGTAAGGCCCCATTTGTTGATCTGGGGATTTATTTTGTGAACAACTGGTATCCTATTTAGAAAGTTCTTACTTACACCTATGTTTTTTGAAAAATATTTATTTTATAAGTGTTTTGCCTACATTGTGTATAAGTGTACTGCATACTACCCTGGGCCTGCAGAGGGCAGAAGAGAGCATTAGAGCCCCTGAAACTGGAATTACAGATGGTTGTGAACTGCCGTGTAGGTGCTGGGAACTGAGCTCGGGTCCTCTGCAAAGAACAGCCAAGGTGCTAAACCACTGAGCCATCTCTTCATCCCGTATGTTCGTATTTCAAAGGGTTTCCTCTTAGATTTTCAGAGTTTCAAGTCTATATTAAGGTCACCAAGAATTTTTAAAATTAATATGCTGCTATTTAAAAAAATGTTTCCTAGTGCTGATGACATCATTTTTATTAGTTAAATTTGTTCTTTGACAATTTCAAATAAACGTTTTCTATATCTAATACTCTGAAGGCCTAGTACTTTTTAGTTGATGCTTAGTTTCTTTTTAAACGTTAATATTTTCTAAGCGGGTATCTGTGTGCCCTAGCACACAGGTGGAGTTGCTCTCTCCTTCTACAGTATGGAGTCTAAGGATTGCACTCAGGACCTCAGGCTTGACAACAAGCACCTTTAGCTTGCTGGCCCCCATGCTTATTTCATTTATTTATTTATTTATTTATTTATTTATTTATTATTTATTTATTTATTTATTTATTTTGGTTTTTCGAGACAGGGTTTCTCTGTAGCTTTGGTGCCTGTCCTGGAATTAGCTCTTGTAGACCAGGCTGGCCTCGAACTCCCAGAGATCCGCCTGCCTCTGCCTCCCGAGTGCTCGGATTAAAGGTGTGTGCTACCACCGCCCGGCCTTTTTATTTATTTATATTTTTGGTTTTGTGAGAGGTTTCTCTGTGTAGCCCTGACTGTCTTGGAACTCACTCTGTAGACCAGGCTGGCCTTGAACTCAGATCCAGCTGTGGGGATTAAGGGTGTGAGCTACCCTACTCAGCTCCACTCTTGGATTTTTTTGAGACAGTGTGCTTAACAAGAAACCTTTAATTTGTGTCAGGATGATAAAGCGATATTATCTGAAACCTGTTCTTACAGATACCTGAACTCATTGAGTGAGGATTAAAAGAAACCCTAAAAATATTTTGATAAGTAATATCCAAGTTATATCATGTGATCTTCCAAACTTTAAGGATGACACAATATTTTAACTTTCCTTGGGTACCATCAAAGCATTTTAATTTTTTAGAGCCTGTCCCAAAGAATTAAAATTTTTGTTTAGATTTATTTACTAGTTTTGACAAGGTCTCACTATGTGGCCCCCAGCTGTCCTGAAACTCACTGTGTAGACCAGACTGGATTCAGACTCACAGAAATCCACCTGCATCTGCCTTCCAAGTGCTGGGATTAAAGATGTGTATCACCATGTCTTGCTATTTTTATTATTTTTAATTATATGTATTGTGTGGATTTCCATGGGTATGCACAGCTAGGCGCTAGTGCCCCCAGAGGCCAGGGATATCAGATTTCTTTGAAGTCGAGTTTTAGGTGATTTTGAGCCACCCCCAGCATGGGTACTGGGAGTCAAGCTCAGCTGCTGTTCAAGAGCAGTGCACACTCTACTTGCTGTGCAGATAACAGCTGGTAGAGGGCTTGTCTAGAATGCCTAAGACCCTGGGTTTAATCTCTAGCACCAAATACACCAGGCATGGTGGTACATGATTTATGATCTCAGGATTGAAGAGGTAGAGGCAGGGGGGGGTGCTAAAGTGAAAGGCTATCCTTAGCCACAGAGTTAAACCCCAGCATGAGCTAGAGACCCTGTCTCAAAAGCCATATGTTTCAGCTGCCAACTCCAACAACTTCATCAGATCCACGGGACCCACATGGGTAGAAGGAGATAACCAAATCCTGAAAATTGTTCTCAGACCCCCACAGTAGTGTACACATATGTGCACGCGTGCACTCGTGCACACCTACACACACTCACACACGTACTAAACAAGCTAAATGTGAAAAATGTTTTCAAACCCCCAAACAAAAAGCTTACTTTCAGAATTTATTTTGCTAATTCTGTAGTCTGTTAAGGTCTGGGGAGATGGGAGTTGTTCCAGTGTATATCCTTTACCTACTTAGAATAAAATTCTGAAGCTATGATATCTCCTGGATATAGAGCAAATGCCTAGCATCAGTGAGACCTAGGTTTGATTCCTACAGTCAATAATAAAATCATGAACTCTTTCATTAATCTTCATGTTTGCCTTTTCTTGATCTTTCCTTATGTTTTCTATTTCTCAACTTTTATCTTGTGAATTTCTTCTGTAAATATAAATCTTACACATTGCTTTTTTTAGATAGGGTTTCTCTGTGTAGCTTTGGAACCTGCCACGGACTGAGTGGGGAGCCACTCAGACCGTGGGAGAAGCAGGTCTTGGTAATCAGGAAGGTGCAAGTTCGGTGAATGACAGACAGACACAACACACAAGAGAGTGGTTGGGATCTGCTGCAATTTTACTGAATTCATGTTTTCATTATATAGTATTCAAACAAAGAACAAATCAGAAGGTCATGTATCATTGGTTGGCACAGTAGGAAAGCTTCTTTTAGTCACATCAGCTATATTTAAGAAAAGTATATTATCAGGAACAGGTGTTAGACATAAAGCGTCCTTAGAAGAGGAAATCTTGTCCTTGGGAATGTAAACCTCAGGCAAGTGCTTTCATCTTATGAATAGAAAGTTTCTGTCTCATTATCGCTATCATGGCCCTTCCTCTTCCTAACGCTTTATTCATCTAGTGACCAAATATACCCAATCAGTTCTCTGCACCTGTTGAAATATACTTTTTAGTACCTTCTTATGCAGCAGACACCATGGGGGTTGGGATCTAGCAAGCCTATCCAGAAAGTTCAGAGTATAATATAACCCTCTTTGTCCATACCTTATCTATTCCCTTGCTCATCATACATCCCGTGTATGTCGTCTTATACATTCCCATACTGTGCTTCCCTATCCCAGAGCTGTTCGTGAAGAGACAATCCTTGTCTTGTAGATACATAGACTATCATTATTGGGGGCTGGAGAGATGGCTCATCGGTTGAGAGCATTGCCTGCTCTTCCAAAGGTCCTGAGTTCAATTCCCAGCGACCACATGGTGGCTCACAACCATCTGTAATGAGGCCTGGTGCCCTCTTCTGGCCCACAGGCACACATGCAGACAGAATATTGTATACATACTAAATAAAAAAATATTTTAAAAAAAAAGGAAAAAAAAGGATATTATTATTATAAAAGAGATTTGCAAAGCCCATATCCTGCACATCTATGCCTCAGCAGTGGCTAATACTGGGCCGTCTGCCATTGACCTCCAGGGAGCCTAGTCCCATAGGACATGTAGCTCCCGTCCGGCATAATGACATATGTCATGTCACACAGACGACACTGGAGTTGGTGTGGCAGGAATCTGTCCTGGAACTCGCTCTGTAGACCAGGCTGGCCTTGAACTCACAGAGATCTGCCTGCTTTTGCTTCCTGAGTGCTGGGATTAAAGGTGTGCACCACCACTGCCCAGCTACACACTGCTTTTTTAACATACTGTGTAAACTCTGAAGCATTATATAAATATAAGTTATTTTATTATTAAGGAGATGGTAGACTCTTGAATATACTCTTACAAAAATGGCTTGTCTTTGGGCGCTAGAGAGGTGGTTCAGTGGTTAAGAGCACAGGCTATCAAGCCTGAGTTTGAGCCACAAGACCCATATAATAATAATTCTGTACAGCCAATTCTAGAGGACCCGATGCTCTCTCTGGCCCCTGTGGGCACCAGGCACAGTCATATGTGTCGGCAGAATGCCCACACAAGTAAGATAAAAGCAACATTAATAATAAGAATAATTTTACAAGCTTTAAAGGTTCCTAGGCAATGAGCGCTGTTGCTGAAAAACTGTAAGTGCTTATTTTAATGCCCTATGGAACATATTTCTTACAACCGTTTTCTGTAATTCAGCTCTGATGAACATACACCAGTAGAGGATGAAGAGCCAAAGAAAAGCACTACTTCAGCATCTAGTTCAGAAGGTAATTTTGTAAAATAAGGAATTAATTCATAAATTTCAAAAGTATGTTTATAAATAATTGCACATTGGACCTTGCTTTTACCCAGGCTACAAAACAGCTGTTTCTTTTCATCATTTCCAATATAGTAAGATGTTTGGAAATACTTCTGTAGAAGTTAATTTTTCATTTGTACTTACAACAGATGAAAAGAAGAAGAAAAGGAAATCTGGTCATTCAAAAGAAAGATCCAAGAAAAAGAGAAAGAAAAAGTCATCTAAAAGAAAACATAAGAAATATTCTGAAGACAGTGACAGTGACTCTGAATCCGAAACAGACTCCAGTGGTAAGAAAGCTGTGTCATTCTGCAAACCCTGGACTGCATTCTCATTGTTCAAAATGTTATGTGCGGGAGTGTTTTGTCTGCAAGCGTGTCTATGCACCATGTGTATTTCCTCCGCTGTCAGATCCCCCGGAACTGGAGTCACCGTTATGACCACCATGTGAGTGCTGGGAATCAAACCCAGTCCTCTGGAAGAGCTGCCAGGGCTCTTAACTACTAAGCCATCACTCTAGCCCCTGAGCTTTTTAAAAATTTGTTGAATTATAGCTGTAATTCTAGCCATGTTAGTTTTCTGATTATATTTTCTGCACTTAAGTATGTGTCACTTGGTACAGCAGGCCTCTGCCTTCTGAGCTAGTCACTCCCGGCTTTGCCTTGGCTTACTCTGAGCAGCAGTGGACATGCAGTAGGTTTGTGATACACAGATTTCAAAAACAACTAGTCACCACTTCCAGGTCAACCATTCCTTAATTATTGTCCCAAATCAGCCATGGTTTTTATTACATTTTTCTTCATTTATTTTGTTCATATGTGTGTATGTGGACATGCATACCACAGGATATGTGTAGAAGTTAGAGAGTAACTTTGAGGAGTAGAAATTTCTCTCCTTCCATCATGTGGGTCCTGGGGGTTGAACTCAGGTCCTCAAGCCCAGCAATAAGCAATCTTATCAACTGAGTCATCTTGCCAGTGCATTTCTGGCTGCTTTTAAGATTCCTCTGTATCCCCATGCACCCTAAGCTGTAGTGATATTTTGTTTGTCATCTAACAACTAAAGCTTACCTAAAGATCAATCAGAGTGCAGAGCTAAGCCACTAGTTAGCCATAGAGGCCAGGCAGTGGTGGCACACACCTTTAATCCCAACACTCGGGGGACAGAGGCAGACAGATCTCCGTGAGTTCAAGGCCTTCCTGGACTACATGAGATTGAATCTGTCTAAACAAGAAACATAGCCACACAAAGGTGATCCCAGCACTTGTGATCACAGGCCTTTAATCGCAGCACTGAGGAGGAGGAGACAGGAGTTATAAGGATGGGCAGAGAGGAATATAAGGTGGGAGGAGACAGGAGCTCAGTCTGAGGATGCAGTTGGAGATGCAGTCTGAGGATGCAACCTGAGATGTAGTCTGCAGGTGCAGTCAGAGATGCAGTCAGAGATACAGTCTGAGGATGCAGTCAGGGGTGCAGTCTGAGGATGCAGTCGGAAATGCAGTCTGAGGATGCAGTGTGAGATGCAGTCTGAGGTGCAGTCTGAGGATGCAGTGTGAGATGCAGTCTGAGGTGCAGTCTGAGGGTATAATCTGAGGATGCAGTCAGAGATACAGTCTCAGATACAGTCTGAGGATTCAGTCAGAGATGCAGTGTGAGGATGCAGTGTGAGATATGGTGGGGGGATGCAGTCGGAGGGATTCAGAATTCGTAGAGACAGATGCATTTTGAAGTTTCATAGAGATGCAGCAGTCTGAGGATTTGTAGAGATATGGTCGCCCCTTCAATCTGAGCATTGGTAGAGGTAAGAATTCTCTAGTGACTGGCCACTCTGCTTCTCTGATCTCTCAAGTTTCACCCCCTAATATATAGGTTTTTATTGTTAAGACCAGTTAGAGTTTGTTCTCCTCCATGCTTTCCTCTGTCAGCCCAGATTCTGCTTGTTTCATTACCATCTCTCCTCCATTCCACTGAGATTCTGGAAAGCATTCTCTTCCTCTGCTACATACACAGCGTTGTTCCTTTTTGCTTTTGTTTTTCTCGCTATGAAACTTTGACAATTCTCGGGAAGTAAAGGGAATAAGGTAATCATCATCTTTATTATTAGTTTTCTTAGCATTTTGATATAGTTGCATAAAATATGGGAATAGGGGAAGTTGATGAGCTCTTCAGAGTAAGTTGCCATTCTCCTTGACTAAATATATATATTTGGTTTTTTCGAGACAGGGTTTCTCTGTGGCTTTGGAGCCTGTCCTGGAACTAGCTCTGTAGACCAGGCTGGTCTCGAACTCACAGAGATCCACCTGCCTCTGCCTCCCGAGTGCTGGGATTAAAGGTGTGCGCCACCATCGCCCGGCTATATATATCTTTGAAATAGGACATTTTCCTACTTAATCAATGCTATTAACTCAATGAGTAAATTAATATTGATTCCCTATATTATTAATACTTAGTGGGGACTTTAATATTTTACATTTATTTATTTATTGTTTGTTTGTGTTATGCATTCATACATACCTATAAGTTGTGTGGATATCAGAGAACAACTTATAGGAATCAAGTCTCTCCTTCCACACATAGTTCTGGGGCTCAAATTCAAGTCAGTTTTGATAGTAAGCATTTTACCCATTGAGCCATCTTGCTGGTCCATGGCTTTAATTTCTTTGATTCCTGCCCCTAGTATAGTTCCTGGCAAGTTTCAATAAATGTTAGAATGAATAAATTTCTCTGAAACAACTAATGAATATTTACAATAGAATATTTACCTGTTAAAATATTGGGATTTTGAACTTTAAATTCTTTTTAATAATAATGTGCTTTAATTTTCAGATGAAGATACAAAAAGAAGAGCAAAGAAAGCTAAGAAAAAAGAAAAAAAGAGAAAACGGAGGACGTCAGTTTTTCTTTTCTTTTTAATGGAAAAGTTTGAAATGTAGATAAAATTATGTAAAATAGTATAATGGTCATATATATATACACACACACACATACACACACACACACACACACACACTCAGTCTGACCTATTACCCTCTCATGGGTAATCTCTACCACCCTCCAGTCATTTTGGTACTAATGAGAGCTATCATTCCCTCCATAAATAATTTGATAATTTAGTACCTTTCTCTAAAAGGTGTTCGTTTAAAGAAAAGTAAAGATAGTAATTTCTGTTGTGCTTAAAATGTTAACAGTCATTGGGGAGTGGTGGCTCACACCTTTAATCCCAGCACTCAGGAGGCAGATGTAGGCTGATCTTTGTGAGTTCCAGGCTAGCCTGGTCTACAGAGTGAGTTCCAGGCCAGCCTGGTCTACAGAGTGAGTTCCAGGACAGCCAGTCCTATTCAGAGAAACCCTGTCTTGAGAAAACAAAAAAATTTAATAGTCAATTCCCTGTAGTTTTTTTTCCTGTAGTTTATTCAAATCAGAATACAATTAATGTCCCTAATCAAATTGGTTATTCAGAGTAAATTAGCATGTTTTTCTGTCTTCTCTATTTCCTGGAGAGAGAAGGGGAAGGTATCTTGAGGTGGGCAAGGTTCAAATTGGAACTTTGGCCAGGAATACTTTCTAGGTGGTGCTATGTAACACCAGCAGTAGGCAACAGATGTCTTGTCTCTTTTTGACATATTAGCAAACACTAATGGTCTTTGTCAAGAGTCAGTATATCACTGAGATTATAAAGCAGTGTGGGAGTTTACTTTGAATGCTGCTATTTAAACGTATTTGCTGTATTTTAACCCATTATACTGAAAACTTTTATTAACGCTTACATTGATGAGAACTCGTTTTTGTTTTGTGGCGGTTATTTTTTTTTATTTTTGCATTTTGTTTTGTTTTTGTGGTTTTTTTTGTTTTGGGGATTGTTTTATGTTTTTTTAAAGATTTATTTTCATTTAAGTGTATATATATGTGTGTGTGTGTGTGTGTGTGTGTGTGTGTGTGATGTTTATACAGGTACCTGGAGAGGACAGTAAAGGGCATCAGGTCCCCTGGAACTACCTGATGTGCTGGGATATGAACTCTAGTTCTCTGAAAGAGCAGCAAGCATTTGTAACTGCTGAACCATCTCTTTAATCTCTGATGTTTATTTTCTTTTCTTTTATTTTTACACAAGGGTCTATAAACCCCAGGCTGGCCTCAGGCTCACTAGATATCATAGAATGTGTTTGAACTCCTGATTTTCCTGCCTCTAGCTCCCAAGTGCTAGGAATACATGTAGTTAGTCTTTTTTTGTCCCACCAACCAGCCCCCAAATCACACCACAGAGACATTTTATTAATTATGAAAACTCGGCTGATAGCTTAGGCTTTTTTTATAACTTAAATTAACCCATTTCTATTCATCTGTGTGGTACCATGTGGCTCGTGGCTTTTACCTCTCTTCCTGCAGGTTTTGCTTCCTTTACGTCTGACTGGAGACTCAACCTTCTCCCCAGTATTCTCTGTCCTGAAAATCCTGCCTAGCTATTGGCCATTTAGCTTTTTATTAAACCAATCAAAGTGACACTTCTTTACAGTGTACAAAAAGATTTTTTTTTTGCAGCAATTACAGACATAAGCTATCACCTCCGGCCTGAGAGTTAACTTTTAAGTTATTTTATTTCCATTAACTTTCTACATGATAAATATATTTTGTTAATCTTTTAGTTATTTCTTGTTGATAGTAAAATACTACTTGGGTTAACTGAGAAAACTGAATTGAAAAGAAAACATGAGAATGCCTTTTAATATGAGAATACTTAATTTGTATTATAATCCTTGCAGGAAGAAATCTAAGAAAAAGAAGTCTAAGAAGAACAGAAAAGACTCCAGTGATTCAAGCTCCAAAGAGTCCCAAGAAGAATTTCTAGAGAATCCTTGGAAGGATCGATCAAGTAGGTTCTTGCAGTTGACTAACTCAAAACATGAAACAGTAACTGATTAGTCAAGTTGTGAATGTGCTTCTTAATATTTTTCATGCAGAGGCAGAAGAACCATCAGATCTCATTGGCCCAGAGGCTCCCAAAACACTTGCTTCCCAAGATGATAAGCCTTTGAAGTAAGTAGAAGCGTACAATTGTGGGGTTTGGTGGTTCTCTTTATTGTAGGCTATTTGCTTTGTTTTCTGCAGTACTGAGTATGGTCATGCCAGGTTAGCAGGCTGACCCTGAACTGTGCGTTCAGCCAGTAGCAGTGTATTTGCAGTATCTAAAGGACTTTCTTAGCTCAGTATGGTGCTTATACCTGTGATCCCAGCATTTGGAAGGACAAGGCAGGGAGATCTGGGAATTCAAGGACATTCTAGGCTACATTGTGATCTCAAGGCCAGTCTGGGCTACAGGAGACCTGGTTTCTCCAAAATAAAAACAAGCTCTTTAACTGTCCTTCAAAGTCCCCTTCCAATAGAAGGAGCATATGGCGAATCCCAAAGCTTCTACCATCTTTAGTCCTCACAGCACTGCTTGTTTCTCGTGTTCAATGCCATTTTTAAAGTTTTTATCAGTTTACCCATTTTTTATGGGGGAGGGGAAAGCATGAAGTCAGAGGACAACTTTTAGGGGTCGGTTCTTTTCCTCCACCATATAGGTACCAGGGATTGAACTTGGGTCAGCAGACTTGATGGTAAATGTCTCTACCTTAACTGTGAGCCTCCTCTGCAGCCCATGCTGCAGTATATTGTTTGTGTTTCCCTTATAGTGTAGTATAGTTATCTTTATAACTATATAAATTTTGTAAGTGCAGAGATTACTTTTGTGTCACAAGCTTCAAGTTTAATAGGAAATACAAGAAACCATCACTGAACTGCTTTAAAAAAATCTCTTTTAATCAAAGGCAAAAGATAATTTTTACCGTATGGCATTATTTTTTTTTTTTTTTGGTTTTTCGAGACAGGGTTTCTCTGTGGCTTTGGAGCCTGTCCTGGAACTAGCTCTTGTAGACCAGGCTGGTCTCAAACTCACAGAGATCCGCCTGCCTCTGCCTCCCGAGTGCTGGGATTAAAGGCGTGCGCCACCATCGCCTGGCCTGTATGGCATTATTTTATTATTTGTTACAAGTTATTTTGCGATATATTATTTATTTGGGTTTTTTAGCGAGAATGCTCTGAGGACAAACAATAATGGTAATACCTGATTAATTAACCCACAGTTATAAGGTGTGAGTTTTTACTTGTGAATATTGGTTCATTTGTTCTTCCTGATTATTTATACATTTCTAGGTTAGTAGTACAGTATAATGTTCTCTAATAAAAATGAAGTAACTCACATCAGGCACACAGCTGCTCAGTACTGTTATGCTCACTACTATCTGAGGGAAAATGACGTGTGCGCTCCTTTTCTATGGAGATAGTTTAATGAGTCTTTTGTGAATTCTGAATTACCTTGTAGCTATGGCCACGCTCTGTTACCTGGTGAGGGTGCAGCTATGGCTGAATACGTGAAAGCTGGAAAGCGAATCCCACGAAGAGGAGAAATTGGCTTGACGAGTGAAGAGATCACATCATTTGAATGTTCGGGTTACGTAATGAGTGGTAGCAGGTATTTTCTGGGCATTGAATCAGTTTCCATAATTAACTCTTTTCCTTCTCCTTCTCTATTACTACTAGGATTATATTTTGGTGATGTTTTCACTAAGTGACTATTTCCTAATGGAAAATAGTATACACGTACACACATGCTCACACACACACACACAAATACTGGTTTCATTAGGAAAAACATACTTAAATAAGATTTAACTATGTATAAAACTTAGCCTCAAACTTTACAATATCTCCAAATTTAAAGACTAGTTTCCAGTTTTATTTTAAACAACTGGTCCACCAGGCAGTGGTGGTATACACTTTTTTTTAAATAATGACTTTAATTATGTATACAGTGTTCTGTCTGCATGCTAGAAGAAGGCACCAGACTTCACTATAGGTGGTTGTGAGCCATCTTGTGGTTGCTGGGAATTGAACTCAGGTACTCTGGAAAAGCAGCCAGTTCTTTACTTCTGAGCCATCTCCCCAGCCCTCCAGTTTTATTTTGTATTCATATTTTGGTATAATTTTCCCCCTGGAAAATATAGTTAAGTTCAGCCATCTATCATAGAAGAATATGGGAATCCATGAGATAAACTTTGTTGGTTTTTGAGTTTGCCTCCAGGTCTCAGAGGACCAGAATTTCTGGAAGTGAGTAACAGTTAGGGATCATGAAGGATGTGAGGTTCAGCATGAGGAAATAAGACTATGGAAGAAACAGAAAATACTTGACCAATCAGGGAGAGGAAGGGCAGCAGTACTGAACTCATGTGGAACTGTGGCTTCTTTAAGATTACAAGCTACCTACTAAAACTGCTATTTTGAATTGATAGCAGAGACAAATATATGTGGACCCTTCTTTCTAAAGTACCCCAGAATCTTAGATTTCTGCAAACCAGCATCACTTTGGAGGATGACAGTATGGTAAGGACAATCCACTACAAATGTAAGGATCAGTAAGGAGGGTTCAACATAGCAATTTTTTTTTGATTGAGATGATTATTTACATAAAAGGTCCCAAAGACTCTTCAGGGCGTTAACAAATGGTTGCATATAAAGTTATTACAGAACCAATTGTGTTTTTATATCTCAGCAACAGGAAACTAGAAAATACTATTAAATATATCATCAATATAACTAATAATGTATAACTGCATAATATATAAGGAAATATAATTAAACATTTATAGTTTAAGTATATTATATAGTATCAGAATATGAATAATTTAGCACTAAATCTTAACAAAAGGATCCCCAGACCCCCACAGGAAAAACTATAAAACATAAAGAATCCTTAAGAGAATGTAGACATTGCTTAGTGGTTAATAGCACTGGCTACTCTTTTAGAGAACCCAGGTTCAATTCCCAGCATCTATATGATAGCTCACAAGCAGCTTTAACTCCAGTCCCAGGGGATCTGAAGTCCTCTTCTGGCCTCTGCAGGCACTTCACATATGTGCTGTATAGATAGATATACATTCAAATATACAAAACATTCATACACATTTAAAAAATTAAAAAGTTTAGCTGGGTGTGGTGGTACAGATTTTTAGTTCTAGCTCTCTGGCAGAGGCAGGCAGGTCTCTGTGTTTGAGGTCAGCCTGATCTACAGAGAGTTCTAGGACAGCCAGGGCTACAAGGAGAAACCTTGTCCTGAAAAACCAATGAATGGATGAATAATAAAAAAGAAACACTAAAGAAGAATTATAGAGACAGACCATGTTCAAAGATAGAATAGCAATATTGTAAAATCAGTTTTCTCAAATTTATCTGTAGATTCAATAAAATTTAAAACAAAATCACAGCAGTTTATGAAACTTAATAAAGCTGTTCTAAATGCTCTAAATGTTCTAAAATGTATTTGTTAGTTTGAAAGGCCAAGATTAGCCATGTTACTTCTAAAGAAGAGTAGGCAAATAAGATGTGGCCTACAAGAGCTGAGAATTAAGGAGCTTGCAGGCCTTAGGAAGCATAGGGAATAACCTAATTATTCAGTGGGATAAAATGCAGAGCCCAAGGACAGTTTTACATGTGTGGAATTTGTGTGTATGAGAGAGCATGCCAGATCTGTGCAGAAGTATTCAGGAAATGGAATAGGAAAAATGTCATCTATATGTTAAAAGAAGAACATAGAACACTGAGTCACTATATATAAAAAGTAGCCACTAGATAACATACTTTCAGAGAGGGTGCCTCTTAGATAAAAATGTATTTTATAAGCAATACAAAACATGTGCTACCTAGAAGTTTGCCTAGGCTAAAAGTAAGAACTTGTGTCCATCAAAAGACATTAAAATGTGAAAATTCCAAGCTCAGGTAAGATTCTTGCAATACACACAATTGATAAAGTGCTGATAATGAGAATATTTAAATGAACACCTATAAAAGAAATACGGGGAAATGACAGAAGGTCAATCAAAAGAATACATGTATCCTATATATAAACTAAATGATGTGCATGATTATTGGAAATGGAAATCAAGACCTTGGTGAAATACTGTTTTGTACCCACTTAATAAGAAGAGATTCAAAGTTTTGACAGTGGCAGATATTGAGAGAATGTGGTGCCACAAGACCTCTTAAACACTGGTGGTAGCATATCCATTAACAATGTGACATTATCTTGGGAAGTTGGATTCTCATGTGCATTATAACCAAGCAGCACTATACTAGGGTACCCAAGAGAAAATCCTACCCATGGACTAGAGACACGCATGTAGGTGTTCATTATAGCATCTTTCTGTTCCATGTAACTGCACTAAACAACTTAAATATATTCCCATTTCCTTGACTCTCCCATCTTATCCCGAGATACCATTACACGAACCTGAAATGATTCTCTCCTCTTGTTACCCAGTCTTTCTTGGTTTTTCTGAGAGAAGTTTCTTGAAATAATTATGTAGGCTTGGGTACATATGCACAAAAAAGGTCATTAATTTTTCTCTCTAAATAACAGACCCTTTGAATTCAACATTATAGTTTTCCTCTGCTTCTATACTTTACTGATCTAACTCTTAGACTGCATCCCGTTTTCTTTATGACCCTTCTGGATTCTAAGGATATTAAAGTATCCACAGGATCCCTCGTCAGTTATAGATTTTCACTTCATTCTCTTCTTTTATCAGTGACACTTGGCTAACTAAGAGAAATCTTTCATCTGCCCTGTTATGGACTCCACAAAGACAAAACCCACTATTACTGGCTGGGCATGGTGGCACATGCCTTATATTACAGTGCTGGAGAGGCAGAGGCAGGTGGATCTGTGTGAATTTGAGGTCAGCCATATTAGCCAGAGCTATTTAATGAAACTCTTTTTAAAAAACACACAAAAACCCAAAAACAAAAAAATGCACATAATCTAAAACATTTAATAAGTTTCCCATGTCAGTTTATTAGAAATAAGCAAAAAAGAATTGTCTTTAATCTGAAATTAATGATAATATCCACTATGCTGACAAACATTGGTGATCATCACTACTAGATATAAGTTAAAGGAAAAGGGACCATCGATAGATAAAATGTATAATCATTTGATGACCTATCTCCAGGTTCTATTGTCACCTTTTAAATAGAAGATTCTATATTAAGAAAGGATTAATGAGGATATAGTATAAGAATTATTAATAAGAAATTAATTAAAAACTAAAATTGTCTTTAGGCATCGTCGAATGGAGGCCGTGCGACTGCGGAAAGAGAACCAGATCTATAGTGCAGACGAGAAGAGAGCCCTTGCATCCTTTAACCAGGAAGAAAGACGGAAGAGGGAGAACAAGATTCTGGCCAGCTTTCGGGAGATGGTGTACAGGAAGACCAAAGGGAAAGATGACAAGTGAGGACTTTCCCACTGTACAAGTGGACATTTCTAACATCAAAAAGGAAATTGTGGGTTCTAGGCATAAAAAGGTTATTGTTTTGTTTGTTTTTGGGGTTACTTTTTGATGTGTGGTTTCAAGCAGTTCAGGTTGGCCTCAGGCTTTGTGGCCAAGGATGACTCTGAGCTCTTGGTCTCCTGCCTCTACCTTCCAAGTGTTGAGATTCCAGATGTGTGCCACTATGCCCAGCCAAAAAGGCTACTGCGCTCTGGAATGGCTTTTCAGTGCTTCCGTGCCTTCTGAATCCTTCAGTCCTTCAATAAAAGATGCTTGTTGATACAATTAGTAAGTTATTTTGGGCTTTTTAAGGTTGACCCTAACTTTCTGGTTTGAAAGTCCAAATTTTGAGTGAAATCATGCAATGTTAGAAAGGTGTCACAGAGAGAAAGTGGCAGCGGCAGCAGAAGTTTAAATTTTACGTTGTGATTTGGTGTGAATATTTTTAGCTTTATACAGTGTCTGCCCCTGCCCCAGCAGAACTTGGAAATGGCATATCTCTGTCTTGACTGTGTCACAAATGGGCTGTTAACAAAATGAATGACAGTGTTGCTGTAAAAAGCAATTCTGGAATTTGAAAACTGACTGTTTCTATAGTCTGCCCTAGAAATGTATTTTGGGCTAAGTCTACCTCTGCTCTAAAAGCAAGCAAACCAAAAGGCTAACTCACAGATGTGTGGAATAGAAAATGTGAGCATTAGATGTTTTAAGTTGTTAATGAATTACTTAAGATAGTTCTTTCAGCTGCCAGGGTGTAGCTCAGAGTTAGAACATGTGGTTATCATGCATGCGGCCCTGAGCTACATCCCCAGCAGTGCAAAAAAAAAAAAATTTTGAAATGCAGTCTTGGGAAGTCTCTTGTTGTGCCGGTATAAAAATACTATTTCTAGCTAAGCTGATATTTATTGATAGGATAATATCTAAAGGAATGAACGTCAGGAGTGCTAATGAGGGAAAATATAATGTCAGTATTTTAATTAGCTCTTTCATGATAATGAAAGTAAAATATTAAATGTTTTCATTTGTGTTCTTTATGTACTCAGATTTTTTTTTTGCGACAGAGTCTCACTGTGTAGCCCTGGATAGCCTGGAATTCCTAGAATTCTGCCTGCCTCTGCTTTCCTGGTGCTAGAATTAGAGGTGTGTGCCACTGCACCTGGCTATCAGCTTTGATTTTAAACATTGTTAAACTCTTCAGCTTTTTTATATCAATCAATGTCTTTAATCCCTAACTTTGTAGAAACCCTCCTCACTTTATCACTGCTCGAAAAGTTGAATATATGTTCTTGGAAAATGTGTTTTTAGCCCACAGCTGCTGAACTGGCCAGCAGTTAGCATGTAGCAACATCTGTGATCTTTGAACTTGAAATGATTTCACTGTATCTGTTCTTCTCAGTCTAGTAAGTCTGCAGTTTCCTAAAACTTCATGGAAACTAGCTTCCAAAGTTTCAAGTCTTACTGTTTCCTACACCTCCTCATGTCATACAATGTAAAGTTTATAATTCCTACTTTAAACTTTATTCTGGGGGGGCATTAGATTTTGTTAACTGGCTCCTAGCGACTGGATGAGTATGTTTTCATTTTTCTTAGGTAATGTAGTTTAAATGCAACAATTTTATGGTGTATAAGTATTATGGGTTTTATTTCGATTCTTCTCTTGTATAGAATAGACACAGTCAATGAAAGAAAAGATAGGAATTTATTTCAAAACCTACCATTCCTTGAGTCAGTTCATTTGGATAAGATCTGCAAAGATCAGCTTTAATAGCAGATCCTTTAAAAAAAAGTGGAAGGCTAAAAGTATTTTATTTTTAGCTTGAGTTATTGCTTCAAACTGTGTTTTATCACCTGAGCTCTAAGCCAGCCACTGTTTGCAAAGGCAAATCTTCCTGGTTTACACACATATGCACACACACGCGCATACACACGTGCACGCACACGCACACGTGCACACACATGCGCACGCATGCACGTACACACGTGCGCACACACATGCACGTACACACATGCACACACACGTGCACACACATGCGCACACACACATTTGTAATTGAACAAACATTGAGTTAGGACTTCTTTTTGCTACACTCCCAGTGAACAAGATGGTGGCTAGGGTTCTAGCTGTATTGTTCAAGTTCTTTAGGCCCATTTAAAATCTATGTAGAATGATTGTAATTTAAATACTTCATTTTGTTCTGTAAAGAGACTTACCTAGTTTCTTACCTCTTCACCTGTTGTTCACAGGGTTTTCTCTCCTTTTTAAATTGTTGTACAAAGATAATAGTTAAAAAAATAGAAGACTTGCTCAGTCCTACCACATGTCTTGTTTGTTACAAGTATTCTGTGTTCCTTGTATGTCTTTGTCACTCAAAGTATAGTGTAAATTTGTCTTGGACATTTTAAAATTGTGTGACCAAGCTTAGGAGTCTCATAAGGAAGGTAGGAATACATGATGACCCAGTGTGAAGGTAGAAACAAGACCAGAAAAGAATAAGGGCGCTAATCCCTCTCTAGTTCATTGTACTAATAAGCATGTGATGTGTTCTAGAAGCCAAAACATTCGGTTTCAGTATTTGGCAGTGAGGCTCACCTTACAGTAGAAGAGGTCTGTGAGTAAGCAAACCCTTCAGACTGGGTAGTATGAGCTCAGAAGTGTTGCCGTTTTGTTACCCAGCATACCCATAAAAATGTGTATCAAGCCGGGAGGCAGGCACAGAGAAGGACCAAACAGCTAAGGGCCAATGGGTGAACTTGAGCATTGTTGGAAATGCAACTCTGTGCTTGCCAAACTCCAAAATCATGATATAGTGTTGACAAAAACCTTTTCAAAAACAGAAAACAACTTATTACAGAATGGATAACAAATAAAAGCAAAAATGCAGTTGGGTTGTGTACCACAAGTTTATTATTCAATAAATATTATGTGGTTTGATGTGCTGTTTCATATTTTAATGTATCATTAAGAGTCCTCAGACATAACACAAGAATCAGACAACTTTGAAAGGAATAGACTCCAACAAAATATGTTTGGTCTCAGTAATGTCTCTCAGCCATTGTTCTCGAAATCGGATCTTTCCTGGTCTATAGAGGAAGGGGAAAAACATGCATACACAAAGCTTTTATAATCAAAACATTGAGACAGGAATTCCCTCCTTACATTCCCAGTGAACAGGGTTCTGACTGGTTTCTACTGGATTCCTTACTGTTCTTTAAGCCTAGGTATAAAGTCTTTTGGAGGGCTGCCATGAAGTAACATGGGTTGCTACACTTGAGCAAATTCATTGTGAGTTTCATGTGGTTCTTTATTGGGAGCGGAAGTCCTGAAACATAATTTTACTCTATAGTCCAGTCAAGCCTGAAACTTACAGCAGTCCTCCTGCCTCAGCCTCTCAAGTGCTGAGGTTATAGACATACATTATAATGCCTAAAAGGGGCATTTACCCATAGTAAATTCAGTATAATTGTCAAGTTTTCCTGAAGAGGGCTAGGGCCGTAGCTCAGTGGTAGGTTCCCTGCCTCATGTATGCAAGGTTCTGGGCTTGATACCCAGAAAACACACGCACACACGCACTCACACACACACACTTTCAAGCTTTGATGTTTCTGTAGAAATAACAGATATGACTCACTTTGCATTACCCTGTTCTATCAACTAATTCATAAGTTTCTAATTACTGAAAAAAAAACACTAAGAAAAACAGTTTTCTAGACTGCTGCCAGAATCATCCTTTCAGCCAGTCCTGTAGGGAAAGTGGTCAAAGATGAGGTGAGCTCTGCATGAATTATCTGTGGGTGTGGGCCTATGGGATTCCTAGAATGTGACAGCCTTTACCTCACCTGTTTAGAACAAGTCTCCAAATTTTAATTACCTTTGAAGTAGTTCTGAATTCTCAAAGATATAGGAGACATCAACAGGCATATCCTGAGAGAGAGGGACAACTGTAAGTCTGGACCAAGCATGCCAACGCTCAATCCTCCCCCTCTCCCCTTATCCAGAAGTATATATTTGCATTTTCAGGACCCATAAGTGGGAACTTATTAGCTGGTAGTTCTTTTGTCATTTAAAGGCTATTCTGCTAAAGACTTTTTTTTTTGGTCACAGGTACCTTAAGCTACACCACAAGATTGGAGACAGTCGCCAGAGGCAAGTGTCCCTCAACAAGAGCATGACTCAGTCTTTTGCCTTCTTTATTAATTTCTTTTGGCAAGGGGGGGGATTGAAATGGTTTTTTTTTTTCCGAGACAGGGTTTCTCTGTAGCTTTGGAGCCTGTCCTAGAACTAGCTCTTGTAGACCAGGCTGGTCTCGAACTCACGGAGATCCGCCTGCCTCTGCCTCCTGAGTGCTGGGATTAAAGGCGTGCGCCACCACCGCCCGGCTTGAAATGGTTTTTTAATATCGAAGTTTAGTTCTGTTGTCTTCTTTACATAGTGCATTTTAGTCAGCTGTGGCTCTCTACCTCTTAGGAATGGAACAAACAAGAAGGAAATAACATAGATGAACAAGTTAAAACATTCTCATTTTGAAGCAGTGGTTTTGCTGTGTTACCTGTACTGGTGGTACATACATACACACCGAGGAATGAGGACCAATAGTTACAATAGTAAGTAAGACCCTGGCTAAAAAAGAAGCTAGGTGTGATGGCACCTGTCTGAATCCCAGTACTCAGGAGGTAGAGGATTGTCACAAGTTTGAGGCCAGCCTGGTCTACCAAGTGAGTTCAGTGTCAGCCAGGGCTTTTATAGCAAGACCCTGTCTCAAAAAGCGGGAGTGTTTGGGGATATAGCTCAGTTGGTAGAATACTTCTCTAGCATGCCTGAAGCCAGTGCCTCATAAATTGAACATGGTGACCCGTGCCTGTCATCCCAGCACTTGGGAGGGAGAGGCAGGTTGGAAGCCAACCTGGACTATATGAAATCCTGACACATAAGATAGAAAAAAAGGAAGGAAGGAAGGGGAAGGGGAAAGAAGTAGAGAGAAGAGGGAACAGGCAATGCATTGTTTGGGAAGAAAATGTTCTAGTTAGAAGGAATGGTGGATGTCTCTATCAGGTTTATTGGAAGAATAGCAAGGTTGGAGTGGTAGAAACAGAATAGAGGGAAAGCGGCAATGAGAAAGCAGAAATAGTATATTTATAATATGTATATTAGATATAGTCATAGCTCATTGTTATTCAGATACAGTCTCTAGGTGTGTGCTATCAGAATTACCTAGGAGTTTGCTGAGAATGTATTATCTCAGCTGGGTGCTGGTAGCCTATGCCTTAACCCCAGCACTTAGGAGGCAGCCAGAGGTCTGTGGATCTCTGGTGGCCAGCCCGGGCTACAAAGTGAGTAGGACAGCCAGAGCCACACAGAGAAACCCTGTCTCCAAAATAAGACCCTCTGAATCTGAATCTTTATTTAATAAGATCCTCAAGTAATTTCCATGTACTTCAAAGTTCAGCACTATTGCGGGGACATTTTAAACAAAGGACCTGAGGCTGGAGAAATGGCTCAACAGTTAACAGCTCTCCTTCAGAGGACCCATAGTAGGCAACTTAAAACTGCCTGAAACTCCAGATCCAGGGGATCTGAAGCCCTTTCTTGGCCTCTGTATGTTAGATGCACTCATATGAACACACACAATTAATAAAAATAAATCTTTAAACACAGGAGTGACAGAAATTCGCTTTAAAGGGCTACTGCATGTGGGCAATGACAGGAGAGAGAACAGTTAAGCTATTGAAATAATCCTGGGGACAGAGGGAGAGAGACAGGAGATGTGGAATACTGTCCATACTTTCTTGATGGGTGAAGGGAAGGACATGATGGAAAGAGAAGAGTCAAGGAAGATGCCGAGGAATCAGCCATCAGCTCAGATGCAAAGACTTGAAGTGGGTCAGTTGTGGGGCGAAATCAAACATTCAATTTTAAGGCTAGGGAGACGGCTCAGGGCTAAAGCACTTGTTTAGCGTCCAAAGGCCCTAGGTCCAACCTCCAGAATCACAGAAACAAAACTAATTTTAAAAATAATAAGTGAAAGGTGCATTAAATCTCAAAATATGCTAGAGATTTGGAAATCATAAGATCTAGTGACATTAATTTTTCTTATTGAGTCACTTTGTTTTGTTTTTTGTTTTTCAAGACAGTGTTTCTCTGTAGCTTTGGAGCCTATCCTGGAACTAGCTCTTGTAGACCAGGCTGGTCTCGAACTCACAGATCTGCCTGCCTTTGTCTCCCGAGTGCTGGGATTAAAGGCATGCGCCACCACTGCCTGGCTTGATTCACTTTTTTTTTTTTTTTTTGAGATGAAGGAATCACAGTGTGTCACCAAAGTTGGGTATAAAAATTCTCAAAAAGTGTTTTTTTTTGGGGGGTAATAAACATTTTCAAGGTTCTTATTTTTATTATTTTATGAGTGTTTTGCCTGCATGTATGTGTGTGCACCACACATGTACCTGGAACCAAAGAGGGTTTCAGGGTCTCTTGGACTGTAGTTACAGATGACTATGAGCTGCCTTGTGGATGCTAGGAATCTAACCCAGGTCCTATGCAAGAGCAGCCAGAGCTTTTAACCACTGAGCCAGCCCTGGATTTTATTTTTAAATTGTGTGTGTGTGTGTGTGTGTGTGTGTGTGTTTGTTGGGGGATATGTGCTTATGAGTATCCAGAAGCTAGATCCTTTGGAGCTGGAGTAATTATGAGCCCTGTGTCTTGGGTCCTGGGAACCAAACTCAGCAAGAACAGCAAGCGCACGTAACTGCCATAAACTGCGTTCAAGTGATTCTTAACCTCCTGAGTGCTGAGAGCAAAGTGCATCACTGTACCCAGCTTGAGGTTTTGTTTGATTTTGAAATGTACCTCTTGCTGTTGCTCAGGTTGGTATGCGGATTCAAATGATTCTCCCATTTCAGCCTCCTGAGTGGGTGGGGCGGCTATAGGCAGGCATCCACGTACCGAGCTCTGGATGGTGGTTAAAGCCATATGACTGGATAAAATAACGAAGCTAAGTACAGAGAATGGGTCTGGGCATTGGGACATTGTAACATGAAGTTGACCGTGTGAGGCAGACACCAGTCCATGCCGCAAAGGAATGGTGAGTGCGGGACAAGGCACGCCAGGAGAGCGTACTAGAAACCAGATGCAAAGTGTGGAGGACAGTAGTCAGCGTGATAGGTGCTGCGGATGGGCCAAGTAAAATGAGGGCAGAAACGTGACTGCTAAGTAGAGTGGCATATTATTTGTGTTTTAATAAATAAAGCTGGCCTGAAGGTCAGTGCAAAGAAGCCACACTAGTCAGCCATACAGGCCAGGCAGTGGTGGCACACACTTTCAATCCCATCAGCCACACTAGTTAGCCATAGGGGCTGGATGGTGGTGATGCACGCCTTTATTCCGAGCAGTAGAAAGGAATATGAGGTGGGATGAGACAAGAACTCTCTCTCTCTCAGTCCGAAGGTTTCACTGAGGTCAGAGCTCTCTAGTGCCTTGACTGCTTTGTTTTTCCGATCTTCAGGTTGAACCCTAATATCTGTCTCTAGGTTTTTATTATTCATGCTACAATTAAGTTTTATGTGTTGGAGATACAGCTAAAGGACAGAGTAACTGCCTAGCACATGCAAGACCCAGGGTTCCATCCTCAGCACCACATAAATAAATAAACAAACAAATGGCTTGAATTTGTTAGAGTGAGCACTGGTAGCACACGCCTGGAATCTCAGCACGGGGGAGGCTGAGGCAGGAGGATCAGGATTTCAGGGCCATCCTTGGCTATTTAAGTAGTTAAAGATCACAACCTGTCCCCACAAAAGCCCAGTGTTTTGCAGTAGGCAGGGGAGTCGATGATACCCATGACCAAAGATGTCATCATTGCTGAATCCTCACTGAAGGGACCAGGATGCAAAAAGCAGAGCTTACCGGAGGTTTGCTCTTGTTGAACTTGATGGTGAAATAGGCGTTAGCACTGACTCTTGCTAGGGGTCTCACGGCAGTAGGGGCACTCCAGCGCACACGGTAGATATAGTGGAAGGAGTGAATTAAGTCTTTCCTCTCTATAAAATCTGCATAGTACACCCAGCGATTTTGAAACTCCCACGTCTGTTTCACAGAAAAAAGAGAAAGCTCACAGAGAGAGAACAGCAGGATCAGCTCAACAAAGGCAGTACGTAACAGGGTTACAGATTCTGAAATCTTGACCTTGTTCAGTTTGTTTCGAACTAGGACCCACTCTGAGTTATTCCCACAGGAGAGAGACAGAATAATTCGGAAATGCGAAACATTTGAGATGAGCTTTGGGCGGTGGCAGAAGCAGAATGGGGCAAGGGTTAAGGTGTGGATGTACACATCACACTTGACATTCTCACTTGGGAGGCAAGTGTGTGGCTAAATTGGAGACTAATCAGTGATTGGAATAGGTGTTCTGTTTACCCCAGGAGGCCTCTAGGGTAACGAAGCCCATTTCAAGCACCTGTCAAATTGGACTTACTTCCTTTGTTGTGAAACGTGGCTTAGAAAAGAAGGGCCGCGTTCTGGGGGAGATTTTTCTTTGAAGGCACTTGCTATGCAAGCCTGAGGACTTGAGTTCAAACCCCAGGATCCCCATAAAGGTCCCAGCTAACTCCATAGGGCTGTCCTCTGACCTCTCTATGTGTGCACTGTGGTAGGTGTGTGACCCCCCCCACCTTCCCCCGCACACAACAAAAAAGTAAAAGAAGGTCAGGCAGTTGGGTTATCTACCTCAAATGGGGGACTGGGAGGGGGGTGGTGCAGCTCAGTAGAAGAGTGTTTGCCTCCTGTGTGGAAGGCCTTGGGGTCTGATCCCCAGCATGGGTCTTCTACACTCTCTGAGACAGGGTCTCACTAGATAGTCCGGTAAGAAAAGACGTGAGGGTGGCAGGTCTCATCTGATTGGGGGCTGAGGGTGTAGCTAAGTTGTCAGAGTGCTCATGTTTGCATGCACAAAGCCCTTGGCTTGTCCCCAGCACTGCATAGGCCAGATGTGGTGGAGCACACCTGTCATACCAGCTTGCGGGAGGTAGAGGCAGGAAGCTCCGAAGTTCAAAGTCACTCTTAGACATCCGATGAGTTCCAGGCCAGCTTGGGCTTCAGGAAATCCTGTGCCTTTCCACCCCCCAAAATGCAATGGGATGGAGAGACAGGTACACAAGGAAGTGCCCTGAAGTTTGGCTCTCCAGAAACCCATATGGCTGGGTAATGGTGGTGCAGCTGTAATTTCAGCTTTAGAAGGCAAAGACAGGAAGCTGCATAGGGCAAGCTGTGGGATTGACTCATTGAGAGATCCTTCCTCAAAAATAAGGTGGAAGAGTGACAGGAGCCACACACACGCGTGCTCACACATGCATTCCCATAAAATGCATATTCATAGGCAACATATACCATACACATGAAGAAATTAAGTCATATCTGATTTTTAATCCAGGCTGTGGGAAATTTTGTTTTGTTTGCTTGTTTTTCGAGACAGGGTTTCCCTATGTAGCTTTGGCTGTTCTGCAGCTCACTCTATGGACAGGCTGGCCTCGAACTCACAGAGATCTGCCTGCCTCTGCCTCCTGAGTGCTGGGATTAAAGGCTTGTACCATCACTGCCTGGTTTAGACTGTGGGAAATCATAAGTGGCACAGTGAGACATTTTCCCTTTCTTTTGGCCATTAGTAAAAAGTAACAGGCTACTGACGGTTTCAGAGCCGAGTTTGTAGGTTTGAAGCCAAGCTTAAGGAAAGTAGGCTTGGCTTCACAGTATGGGGTGGTCCGCAGAAGTGAGGTTCAGGGCAATGGAGTATAGAGAGGAGGCCACTGCCCAGGGTCTGGTGAGCACCAACAAAGGTTAAAATGGAGTAGTGGTACCAGGATCTGAGAGGAGTGGAGAGATGTGAGCCACAGTAGGAAAGGACCCGCATGAATAGTTATTCAATATATGCGCATTACAAAGGGCCAAAGACATGAATGAGTAGGATGTTGTTTATATGCGTATGCGTATGTGGAAATAATGGTTAACCTTTTGTTATTTCTTAGGATCTTTCCAATTTGTACCTTTTCTTTTTCTTTTCTTTCTTTTTTTTTTTTTGAGAAATGGCTTCTCACTGGTCAGTCCTAGGCAAGCATTTGCCTGTCTCTGCCTTCCTGGCACTTGGATTACAAGTACACAGCATCACGCATGGCTTTTTAAGTGGCTGCTAGGAACTGAACTCAGGTCTTCGTGCTTACACTGCAGGCATATTCCTGACTGAAATATCTCTCCAGCCTTCCTCACCTTTTGGAGACAGAGACTCATGTAACTCAGACTGGCCTGGAATGGTAGTTGAAAATGACTTTAAACTCCCAATCCTCTCACCTTCACCCCCCCACGCCCCCAGGGCTGGGGTTACAATCCTGTCCCACTATACCTAGAGATACTTCTCTCTCCTTAGGCCAGCTTGCCCCCATTGACTATGTCAGCACAAAGTGCTTATGTTGAAATAGCATATCTTTGGGAAATGTACAATTAGGACGATACAAATGCATAGCAATGTGGTTGCACTTTTCTCTTTCAAAGATCATCCTACCTTGGGGCTGGAGAGATAGTTCAGTGGCTAAGAATGCTTACTGACTGGGGAGGTGGTGCACCCTTTTTAAGCCCAGCATTCAAGAGGCAGGGGCAGATGGATCTCTTATGTGTTTGAGGTCAGCCTAATCTACATAGCAAATCCCAAGCCAGCTTGAGCTTCATAGTGAGAGCCTGTTTCAAAAAATTAAAATAGGACTGGAGAAATGGCTTACTAAGAATGTTGGCTACTCTTTTCAGAGAACCTGGCTTCAACCCTCCGCATCTACAGTAACTCCCAGCCACCTCCCACTCCAGTTCTGGGGCATCTGACACTCTCTTCCAACCTCCACAGGCACCAAGCGTACACATGGTGCACACACATACAAGTCGGGGCAAAACCACTCGTACACATACAATACAAAGATGTTTTTCTTTTTAAAAGAAAAGAGCAGTGACTGAAGGGTTACAATGCTTCTATTAAAAACATAAGACAAGTAAGCAAAACTTTCCAATCTTGACTTTGGAACTCACAGGAAAATTATGTTTACTTATTCTAGGTGTCTTTGATGCCACCCCTTTTGTTTTCATGACCTCAAACTTTTGATCAATGGAGGACTTTTTTGTTGTTGCTCACACCCTGGGGTACCAAACTGGAGTGACCAAAGTCACTTACCGAAACAAACTTCTCAATTTGTTTCCGACCCTTTTCTGCTGTGAATTCTCCATGAGTGAGCCACTTAATGTTCTTGATGGGGTTTCTGGCTTCTGCAAACAAGGTAGAGGTGTATTAGTTGCCTGGTAGTGTGCTCTTACAGCAACGAGACAATTCTTTAGACAAATAAACCAGAAACTTACCTTCCACAAATTGAACAGCGGCAGCCAGAACACCTTCAACTATAGTCCGAGCTACCTCACCTGTCCCATCGTCTTTTTTTTCCTCTACCACAGGCTTTTTCTCTTTGACTTCTGGCACAACTTTCTTCTCTTTTGTTTCTGTCTCGGGTGCCTTCTCTTTTACCTCGGGTTCAGCCTTCTTGTCTTTTATCTCTTGTATTCGCAGAGACTTGAATCCCTTTACCTCAAGCAGAGGTGGCATGTCTTTCTTCTGTCTCATCTCTGGCATGAAGATCTTCTCTTTAAATTCTGGGACAAGTAGCACAGCTGGCACGACTGGCACGACTGGTACAACTGGCGCAGCTGGCGCAGTTGGAGCAGCTGGAGAAGCTGGCGCAGCCGGTGCAACTGGCGCAGCTGGCACAGCCACCTTTTCCTTTGGTTCTACTGGTGGCACAATTTTCTTTTCTTTGGCTTCTGGCACTACGGGCACAACCACCTTTTCTTTCATCTCTATTGACATAATCTTGTTTTCTCTCGTGTCTGTCACAATTCTCTTGTCTTTTACGTCTGTCACAAATGTCACCATCCTTTTGTCTTTCGTCTCTGGCTTCTTGTCCTTGGGATCTGAGATCGTCACAGTCTTCTTTTCTTTTGGCTCAGACACACTCTTTCTGTCCTTCGGATCTGTGACGATGGTCACAGTCTTTTTCTCTTTCTGATCTGTTACAGTCTTCTTTGGGTCCGCCACAGTCTTGCTGTCTTTTGGCTCTGTAGCACTCTTGGGCTCTGGAGCATCCGGTTTCTTTGCCTTGGCTGCGCTAGTGTTCTCCACAGTCTTACCCCTCTGGGGTGGGAGTCTTTTTCTGTTATCCATTTTATTTTGCCTAGATTAAAAAAAAATATTTATGTGCATGAATGTTTTGCTTGTGTGCATATCTTGCAGCAAGTGTATGCCTGATGCCTGCAGAGCTTAGAAGAGAACATTGAATTCCCTGTAACTGGAGTTACTGACAGTCGCATGCCATCATGTGGATGCTGGGACTTCAACCCAAGTCTTCTATAAGAGCAACAAGGGCCATAAAACAGAGTCATGTCTCCAATTCCTCCACCCTGTCCATTGGAAGTTCAAAATACTCAGGCCACACCTGCTGCCTCTTGAGAAGAGACTAGGGGTGAAGGGTGCTAGTCAGACCTTTTACTACCGACCCTTTTTATCTGCTTGCTGAGATGGACCTTGCCTGAAAACCAAGGATTTTCCATGCTGCAAACTGAGAGAACTTAAATCGAAATGCAACAGAGGAATTCCTAGCTTACTTGGACCATAACTCCAAATACTGACTCTAAATGCCTCAGTTCATGCTTTGAACAGATAAGGGGTCGAGCCTAGTTTAAAATTCGAATTTCATTTCTTAAAGACTTATTTATTTTATGTGTGCATGTTCTTGTCTGCATGTACATCTGCACATCACAAAGAGGGCATTGGATCTCATGACAGTTATGAGATGGCTGTGAGCCACCATGTGGGGGCTAGGAATTGAACTCAGGACCTCTGGAAGAGCAGCCCGTTCTCTTAATCACTGAGCCATCTCTCCAGCCTCCAAATTTCATTTTTAAATCTGTGTGTGGGTTTGCTTGTGCATGTGAATATGGGTGCCTGGAGATGCCAAAGGAAGACTAAATTGCCCTGGAGCTGCGGTTATGAGGGGATGTAAGTCACCTGATGTAGGTGCTGGGAACCAAACTTGGGACCTCTGGAAGCTCAGTACATGCTCTTAACCACTGAACCATCTCTCCAGCCCCAGCATGACTTTTTTAAAAAGTTGTGAGTTGAGGGAATAAAAGTGTATTCCAGTAGTAGGCCATTTATCTAACCTTGAGAAGCCTTGGGGTCCATCTCTAGCAACACACAACACACACACATACATATACTTTCTCTCTCTCTCTCTCTCTCTCTCTCTCTCTCTCTCTCTCTCTCTCACACACACACACACACACACACACACGTGCAAGCACACGTAATGAACCAAGAGGCAAGCCAGCAGAAGAGTGTTTTCATCTTGAATTTTCCAGGTATATAATTCTCAAAGATCCCAGGCATATATTATCTCAAGGAAACTATTATTTTTACCATTTCTTTCCCGAACATGTTATGTCACTTGTGCTTAATTAGCTTTGGTTAACCCTTTCAAAAATGTTAAATGGAGGTCAAGATGATGAGTATTCTCCTTTCTGTCTGGATTCAGTGGGGCTCTTGAACCATTTGGGATGACTCTGGTTTATGTTCTGAGATTTGAAGCTGGGAATAGTGACAAATATCTTTCATCTTAATTTTTGGGAGATAGGAAGAGTGCCGCAAGTGTTGCAGGAGGCCTCTTGTTGGTTCCTGGCTGCCCAGAACCCAAATAATCACACAGAAACTGCATTAATTAAATCACTGCTTGACCCATTAACTTGCTTTTTTTTTTTTTCGAGACAGGGTTTCTCTGTAGCTTTAGTGCCTGTCCTGGAACTAGCTCTTGTAGACCAGGCTGGCCTTGAACTCACAGAAAACAGAGATCTGCCTGCCTCTGCTTCCCGAGTGCTGGGATTAAAGGCATGCACCACCACCACCCAGCTAGCTCTAGCTTTTATTGACTAACTCTTTCATCTTAATTTAACCCATCTCTGTTAATCTGTATATCACCACGAGGTCGTAGCCTACCAGGAAACTTTCAGCATGTCTATTTCCTGTGGCTCCATGGCGGCTCCCTGACTCTGCCTTCTTCTTCCCAGCATTTACTTCTTTCCCGCCTACCTAAGTTCTGCCCTATCAACAGGCCAAGGCATCTTGTGCTACATAGTGACACCCTGCCTTAAAAAAAATAAGTGAACGGAGCTAGAGATAGCTTAGTGGTTAAGAGCACTGGCTGCTCTTCCAGAGGACCCCTGTTCAATTCCCAGCATCCACCTGGCAGCTCATAACTGCCTGCAACTCCAGTGCCAAGGGGTCTGATGTTCTCTTCTGGTCTCTGCAGGCATCAGGCACACATGTGGTGCACAGACACATGCAGGTAAAACACTCATACACATAAAATTTAAAAAAAAATTTTGTTCCTGTTTGAAGGAACAGAAATGTTTTTCTTAAAAAAATCATAAATGCAGTTCAAGTTTTCCAAATACCTTCAGCATTTGCTGATACCGTTAACAATAACTGAGCCTTAGCTTTCTCAGGACTGTGGACATAATAGGGGTGTGTCCATCGGGAGTTCTGTTTTTTCCTTTTTACATCTTTCCTCTTGAGTCTTGAAACACTTCTGAGAAATCATTTCTAGCTTGTAAATCATTTCTTGCAGGCAAATCTTTTTTTTAATTTAAAAAAATTTAGTTTTTTTGAGATGGGTCTTTTATAATTTATTATTTTTTAAAAGAAAAACTATCTTTTTTCATTTTACATACCAATCCTAGTTCCCACTCCCTCCCATCCTCCCATTCCCTTCACCTACTCCCCACCCCACCCCCCATCAAATCCTCAGAGAGGGCTTACTTTGGGGAAGGTCCAAGGCTGTCCCTACTATATTTAGGCTGAGCAAGATATTCATCTGTAGGAAATGGGTTCCCAAAAAGCCAGTACAAGCAGCAGGGATAAATCCTGGTGCCACTGCCAGTGGCCCCTCAGTCTGCCCCAGCTATACAACTGTCAACCACATTCAGAGGATCTAGTTTGGTCCTATGCTGGTTCCTTCCCTGTCCAGCTGGAGTTGGTAAGAGAAGGGGTCTTATTATGTAGCGTTTGCTGGCCTGGAGTACCCCGTGTAGACCAGAATGGCTTTGGACACACAAAGATCCATCCACCTGCTTGATTAAAGGTGTACAACCCCATGCCAGCCTCCTTGCCAGCAAACCTATAAATGAAAGGGAGGGGGGTGGCATTAGGTGTTTTTCCAAACTGAGCTCTTTATTTTTCTACAAAAAAAGCTCCCAATTTTGGGATATTTTATGTGCCATGTTTCATTTAACTACCATGACCCTATGACTGAGACAGACACTGGCTACTTTCCACATCTTCTGTCTCCTGCTTTGCTGGAAGGCTGACGGGAGTAGAGCACATGAAATGGCCCTCTAGTGTCCTAGGGAGGTCACATGCCAGGAAGAGCATGTGGACCTGTGAGAGGAAAACTACATTGCTTGCTGCCCCCCCCTCTATGGAATACCTGTGACTGGCTGGCTGCCTAGAGAAACTTCTAGCTTCTCTGGGCTGCTGTCTTACACAACTTGTGTCTGGTTCCCTCCAACTCCTACAAGCCTCAGCAAGCTGAACTCTGTATGTCTGTACTATGGCCGCATCTTTGTATTTCCTTGACCAACTATCCTAATTTAAGTATGCTAAGTTTTTTTTTATTGTTTTGAGACAGGGTTTCTTTGGTAGCCTTGGCTGTCCCAGAATTCACTTTGTAGATCAGGCTGGCCTCTAACTCACAGAGATCCTCCTGTCTCTGCATCCCGAGTGCTGGGATTAAAGATGTGCAACACCGCTGCCCGGCAAATAGAATGCTAATTTTTAAACATGTTTATTTAGTTCAGTTGACTGATTGTATGCAAGTGTACTGTGTATGTGCAGGAGACTGTGGAAACTAGAAGAGGGTGGGATCCCCTGGAACTAGAGGATTTTTTTTTTGTTTTTTTTTGTTTTTTTTTTTTGAGACAGGGTTTCTGTCTGTGTAAAAGCCCTGGTTGTCCTGGAACTAGCTCTTGTAGACCAGACTAGCCTCAAACTCACAGAGATCCACTTGTCTTTGCCTCCTGAGTGCTGGGATTAAAGGTGTGTGCCACCACTGCCGGGCCTGGAATCAGAGTTACAGGCAGTTGTGAGCCAGCTGATATATAAGATAGGAAAAAGAAATGCAAAAATATTAATTCACAAAAGGCTTCAGGGGCCTGTTTTCATCTTCATCTGGTCCAGATTGTGCTCCTTCTTCCTGCAAGCCTCTTTTTTTTCAACTCCTTAATGGGAGGGGGCATGGGTGCTCCAACACACATGGGGAGGTCAGAAGGCAACTTGCAGAAGCTGGTTCTCTCTTTCTACCACGTGAGTCCTGGGGACCACATTTATGCCCTGTGCCATCTCACTCTTGCTGCAAGCCCCTTTCATGAAAGACAACCCTTTGTTTCCCTTTTTAGCATCATTGGTCCTAAGTGTATGGTGGACACTGTGTAAGGCAATCAAATTCCATATATATATATATATATATATATATATATATATATATATATATGAAGCCCTGCATATCCTTTAAACATTCCTGTAATAACTACAGATAACTACAGACTCATGCTCATTTAGGCCTTGATATTTTCATTTTCCGCTCCACTCCCCTCCACCTCAGTTGTCCTCTTGCGGCAGCTGGCGTCTTTCCAAAGCCCACCTTTGGCTACATAGCAAGTTTGAAAGCAGCCAGCCTAGGTTACATAGATTCCCTCATCTCCAAAGTAACAACAGCAAACCAAAAAGGGAGGGCTTGAGGAAGGAAAGAAGGAAGGGTTTTAACTTCACCCATCTACGGACACATCAGTCTTAGGTGTCCCTCCCACTGACTTCTTTGGGGTCTGGGTAATTAATAGAACCACTTCAGGTCCCCAGTTGAGGCCTGCCCCATCCCAAAGAAACTCCGGTACCTAAATGAGTAGATTCCTTTTCGAAGCAGTAGCAGAGTTAGCCAGGGAAGCTTTAGCAGTTCTTGCAGGGCTTTGCCCCAAGATTCCTGGAGAGAATGTTTACAAATGCTACCATGGCAACGACGGCTCTTTGAACAATGGGAAGCTAAGCCCATGTGCCCCAGTCAATAAAAGCAAAGAAAGCAAGAGGAGGAACACACATTCTCCTTGCCATTTGGCCTCAGTACCAGAACTGAGCTGTGTGACGCAAGCTCAGCTTCTTCCCAGGACATGAGCTTTCAGGGTAGTGCCTGGAGGGTGATGTCACATTCCTCAGCCAAGAAGCACTGGGCCTTTGTATGCTCTGCAGGTTACTGCAACAAGCTATCTACTTTTTACAGTGCCGTCAGAATGTAGGTACCAGTGTTTCATATTTGGATGAAGTGAGGCACAGAGGATGTCATGCAAATTGCTGAGAGCTCAAACCCAGAACTATCTGACATCATTGACCACAATCTCATCTTTTCATGCCCATTCTGAGGTTAGGAGCTCTAATATGTTCAACTATTCTGAAAGATGTCTTTTGTGCATTGAGGATGAGAGTAGAACAATGATATCTGTACAGACTCAAGACAGTTTGCTTTGCACTTTTCTTTATCCATTTGTTGTTGTTTTTTTGTTTTTTGAGACAAGGTTTCTCTGGGTAACAGCCCTGGCTGTCCTGGAACTCACTCTGAGACCAGGCTGGCCTTGAACTCATAGAGATCCACCTTCCTCTGCCTCCCAAGTGCTGGGATAAAGATGTGCACCACCACCCAACTTTTCTCTATTTCTTGTCTACAAAATAAAGATGATCATGGCTTAGAGTAGAGGGTGTTGTCCTTTTTAGACAATGTCTTTCTATAGAGCCCTCCCTCTCAACCAGGGTCTCATGTATGGGATCTGAACTTGCTATGCAGCAGAGGATGGCCTTGAACTTCTGACCCTAAGCTATGGAATTCATGCATGATGCCAACTGACTTAATGTTCCAAAATCCCCGGGCGTTCCCAAGTGGCCTGCCCAGGATTCCTGGGTGGTTTCCCAAGCAGCTAGCTGCGGGAAATGCTGGCGAGTCCCCGGCGGGCTCGCAGAGCAGCGGGGCAGGTGCCAGGCCCCGGAGTGGCTCGTGGCAGGTCCTGGGTCCCACCACCCGAGTGGCGGCGGGTTCCCAACGGCAAGCGGGCGCATGGGTAGGGACATGTGACAGACACATAGTATGAATCAAAACTGAACCTTTACTACTTAGAGGAGAGAGAGAGGGAGGGAGGGAGGGAGGGAGAGAAAGAGAGAGAGACAGAGAGACATGTGCACACGCACACCAAGAGGGGACAGCGAGAGAGATTCAAGATGGTGGGGCAGGGGTCTGAGGTCACTGGGAGTGGGTGTGGCTTGTCCCTTAAAGGAACCAGAGACCAAAAGAATAACATTCCCACGTCTTCCTTACAATAAAAAAACAGAAGATTAGACACCACAGTTTGAAGGAATTGGGGCGGCAGATTCTCAAAACTGCTTCTGGCTGATTGTGGGAATCGTCTTTTGGGGCGGGGGGACCTGGGAAGGCTGGGTGCTGGCCACATCCTGGCATAGCTGGTCTCTTTGCTTCTGACTGGTGTCTGTGGCACGGAAATGTCTGGTGTCCCTTATCCTGTTTAAGGTATTGGCAGAACAAAGAACAAAGTTAAATTAAGGGGATAAAAATTTTTTTGGACCAGGGAATTGATGGGTGTAACTGACCTGTTTAAGATCCTTTAATTCAGCTCCCTGGAACTCACAAGAATTCCTTGGGTTTGTGAAAACAGAAGTTTTAGACACATGGAAGGCAGCATAATAGAGAAATTTGATTTGAAATTTATTTGGTGTGGTAACCTGGCAAAACCTCTCAGCTATCAAATTGTCTGAGATCTTTGAGAAGGATAAGATTTTACTTGAGTTACTGATTAAAAAATAACAGAGAACTTACTTGGATGGCACCCAGAGCTACTCTTTTGGGCCCTCCATGGTCGCTGAAGGTTGCACTTGACCTTTGCTGGTTAGCACCAGGCCTGCCAGGCTCCAGAAGATCCTGTGGGCTAAGAAATCTGTAGGAAGACAGGCCTACCTTGACCTGAGCAGCTAGGCTGTCGATTCCAGTGATTCCGTCCACATCTAGAAGTCTTTAGTTTAGACGAAAGGCAGTTTTGCCCAATGGTCAGCGCTTGGCAGTTGAAGCAAACTGCAGAAGGATGTTGTTCTGCGCCCATTTGTCTTCTTTGGAGGAAGCAGAGTGTTGCTGCTAAGGAGCCAACCTGTCTCTTCTTGTTATGAAAAGTTTTTTAATAATTAAATACTTAAATATCACATTCCCCGGATCTCTGAGCAGTTGAGGGCTGTTTATCAGGCATAGCTGCAGCATAGAATCTGTCTGGAAGGTTGGATCTGAGCTTCACTGCACTGGCTCTTAACAGGTAAGATCCACACTCGTAAAAAGAGAGAAAGAAAGAAAAAAAACTGCTTGTAATATAAGATTAGTGGCAGAACTGACAATGGTAGAGAACAGCTTAATATTAAATATAAGGCGTTTCTGTAAGAGACTTAAAAGTACATACCAGTTTAAAATATGAGACTTATGATTTTGTAGTCTGAAATGAGATGTAATGAGCAATTATTATACACAGAAAGAGTGAACAGGAATTGGACAACATGGATGGACCCTATCAAAGGCATGCCATTGTACAAAACATATGTAACAGGGTTAACATGAGGAGTTTAGTGAAAACCAGGTGAAAAGGCAGGGTATGCAGAAGTAAAAGTGGGAGAGCTTGGTCACCTGACCTGGCTCTCAGCCAAAATGGTGACAAAGTCACTGGACCCACCTGGCCCTCCACCAAGATGGCGACAGCCACGTGTTGTATGAAAAAAGTCACAATTTTTGAGCTGTAAGGATTTGAAGCTTAATGAGAGCGACTTAAAGGCATGATCTGCTCTGTTGCTGAGCCGCCATGACATAACAGAAGCCACAGAGGGGAGGGGCAAAAGGCTGGAACCGAAAAAACTGCATCATGCCACGGCTTCAATTGAAAAGCCGGCTGGAATTTTAAAGGCCGGGGAGCCGGTTGCTATCCAGAGCCAAAATTGTGAAAACCCACAAAAACAGCGTGAACACCCAAGACCACGTGGAAGAGCATCTTCTATCTGCGGGTGGGGTGCTATGGCCTAGCTGGATTCTGGTGACCCAGAAACCAGGGAGGCTGGGGGGGGCGGCTGCTCCGAGTGGCGATTAACCGATGAAAGAAGTGTTGTGCTTTCCTGTTGCTTTAAGGGACAAGCCACGCCCACTCCCATTACCTCTGACCTGCCCGCTGCTGCCATCTTGGGCCCTTCCTTTTCTGCTTCCTTGACGTGCGTGCTTTTTATTATAAGGAAGACCTGGGAATGTTATGGTTTTGGTCCCTTTAAGAGACAAGCCACACCCATTCCCCTCCCCATCCGCTGAGGCAGGCTGCCCTTCAGCTTCCTGCCTGAGCTCATTCTCTTTTCCATCTTCCTCTCGGAGAGGCAGCTTCGCTTCTGCCTCTTTCCCCACTTCTCTGCTTCCCCCCTTCTCTGTCTCTTTCTCCTCTTCTCTCCTCTCTCTCTCTCTCTCCCTCTCTCTCTCCCTCTCTCTCTTCCTCTCTCTCTGTCCCCCCCTTCACCCTTCCTCCTCCATAACCCCCTGAATAAACATTCAACCTCACCCTGCATGTCGTGTCTATCCCTGTTTCTGTCTTCTGCCCACCCGCCATGTGTCTCCCTGCCTGGAACCAGCCATTGCTCAGGGACCAGCAGCCGTCTCTGCCTGGGGCCCACTGCCTGCTGCCACATGGCCCGCCACCACTGCTCTGGGACCAGCAGCCGTCTCTGCCTGGGACTGGCTGCTCCCAGGGCCCGCTGCCTGCCACCACATGGCCCGCTACCACCATTTGGGACCTACAGTATTTCTGCTGCCTACTGCCACCGGGGATCTTGCAGCATTTTTTAAAAAAGAATAACAAGAAGAGAAAAAGGAAAGAGAGGAAATGGAAAAAAAAAGATAAAGAAACTAAGGGACCCTGGGTCCCTGGTCAAATGCACTGCACGGGAAGTGCATAGTGCTAACGCAGGCAGACCGATCCCCAGGACCCATCCAAACATGACTCCGGCAAAGGAAAGCAACCATAGCAGAATGGGGAGACACTCACCATTGAAGCCATCTGGGAAGCTGGTGGTGTGTAAGACTTTAAGACAATCCTGAAGCCATTTTTGACAATTCTGAATCCTCTCTGCCTCTGTGCCATAGTGCTTCCCCTTCTCCCCTGGGAACCAAGGACCTAACAGCTACACTCACACGTACTCAGTTCCTGAACAATTACCCATATACATATGTTTTGGTTCCGCCCCTGGGAAATGGGGTAAAAATGACCTCTTACCTCATCTGATCTGGCAACAGCTCTCCAGTCAATTATTGGTAATAGCCCTTTCAAATAAGCCAATCAGAATAGTCAAAGAGCAACCCCCTTGCTTCTGTGGCCCCTTTAAAAGTAGACTGTAAGCCAGGCGATGGTGGCGCATGCCTTTAATCCCAGCACTCGGGAGGCAGAGACGGGCGGATCTCTGTGAGTTCGAGACCAGCCTGGTCTACAGAGCTAGTTCCAGGACAGGCTACAAAGCCACAGAGAAACCCTGTCTCGAAAAACCAAAAAAAAAAAAAAAGTAGACTGTACCAGCTATTCGAGGTCCCTCGGCTTCCTGAATGCTGGGGGACCCTGTCATGACAGAATTAATAAATTCCTCATGCTTTTGCATCGGCTGTGGTGTGTGAGATGGTCTCTGAGGGTGACTCCTTCTCGGTGTTTTTGGACGCTAAAGTCCAACAGTGGGAATGGAAAAAGAATCCAGTTCAGGATATCTGAGTCATGTGGCACCAATTAATGTTCCATAATCCCCGGGTGGTTCCCCTAGCAGCTATTGGCGGGAAATGCTCGCAGAGTGGCTCGTGGCAGGTCCTGGGTCCCGCCATCTGAGTGGTGGCGGGTTCCCAACGGTGAGTGGGCGCGTGGGTAGGGACATGTGA